TTAAATGCTTTCAGGAGAATATTGCATTAGAATGGCATTTAGTTCTGAATAGCTTATTTTATACACCCAATGATTCCTAAGATGTGTAATTTATGCCCCTAATCACCCTCATTAGGACCTAAGCTGTGACTAATGCTCACTACATACGAGGCATACACTTTCCCACGCATATTTCAAAACAACGTGAATTTGGGATTTCTTATTATTCTTCCCTAGAACATCAATTCTGTGATCTCTAGTATTCAGTGATGACTACTTGATAATCATCTCTGACTCTGTCACCTAAATGTGAGTTTGTTATGCTCAGGAGCAAGGAAAAGCAGTGCCTAGTATTGAGGTCAATACAGATAATGCCTGAAGAAATACTAAGTGAAGAGATAGAATGCTAACAATTTCTGAAAGTAGAATCCTTCACTTAGATGGCAATCGGTATTTTCCCATTTTAAAAAGAATGGTCTTAAGGTATTGAGGTGGATATTGAAACTTCAAAATGATGGTTATAAGTAAAGTATGCTGAATGCATGAAAAAAAAAATAAAGTTCCTATCAAAATCCATCGCAGGGCTCTATCAAAATTTGAGGACATCGTGGAAGGTACTTGATCTTGCTTTTCAGTGAAGGAATCCCTTCTCCATATTATCCATCCATGTATTTGTGCAAATGGAATAGATATTACATGCTAGACACTGTGCTTGGGGGTAGATTTTTAAAGGTGAATAGGACAGAGAGAGCCCCTGCCTTCTCTGAGCTTACAGCGTAATTGTAAAGGCCCGAGGTGCAGACAGTGTTGCAGATAATGACAGCAAGGTGTGATCTGTGTGACTGGGCAAAGGTGGGATATTCCAAAAATACATCAGCAATCTGGGAGGTTAGGGAGGGCTTTCAGAACAAAGTTCCTAATGTTCATCTGAATAATTTCCACACATCCTACCGGTATTAGCCTAAATGTAACTTATTTTCGTTATAATCCACAGAAACCTTGTTGACTAAAACTCCTACCAATCGATACTAACTACCTTCCGTGGTAGAACAACTCCTGTTTTTTAATTTTTCAAATATTTGAACACAATTACCAACTAATCCCTCAGTCTCTTCAGTATGGCCCTCTTCAGCCCACTAACTGACACAGCATAGCCATTACATAAATATTTCCTGAATGAATGAATGAAAAAATTAATTAATGAAGAATGAAAGTCCAGGAACTATACAATTCAGTGTATACAGATACAGATACAATGTGTACAGAATTGTACAATGTAAACACTTCAAACTATACAGATTCAATGTAATATTTTTATATCTATTGTTTCGCATTCCTTTTACATTCTTCGTCTTTTTAACGGGGTATAGTTCCAATCAATTTAACAGTGACTATGGTGTGTGTGCGTGTGCATGTGTGTGTGTATATATGCATGTATGCCTGTGTGTGTGTGTGTGTGTGTGTGTGTGTACTTGGAGAGTTAGAGAAGTATTAGAGATTCTGTAATCTCCAACACATGTCTCAAGGTTTGACTCATATGAGTCATAAAAGAGAGTTTTTGCTTATCATTTGCCTCATTAATTTATATATTTCTTTAATAAACATACAGTAAGTACCAAATCCATTCCAATCCATTATGCCAGGCCCTGGGAATAAAAAAATGAATAAAAATTTGTTTCTTGCTCACTGTCGAATGGGAGAGCAGACCTACACAAATATAAATATGTCCAAAATTAGGAAATAGTCTAGTCCAGTATTAGCTAAGTGGCAAAAACTGGTTATATCATCTCTGAGCACAGAGAAGCCAGCCTACTCTCTGCACACCAGCACAGTTACAGGAGAGACAGAGGCAAAATGGGGGGAATGAAACTTGGAAATTACCCTGACACATTCTCACTTGCCATGAAACCTGACATGTGCCCTTCCCAAGCGAAGGTATATTTCTGAAAAGCAATGATTGATCCACGTTGTGATGACTCCTTTTTCTTCTACTCATGACTTCGAACCTGTGTTGAGTTCCTACGGTAAGGTGGGATAAGTTCCTTCCTGAGGTTGGAAGTGGGAATTGAGACACACTCTGTCAAGACTGGAGTCAGAAATCCTCCCAACAGCAAATCTGCCCAAGTCACAGACATGCCTAGGACTCCACATTGGCCTTAGGAGGAAGACCGAGATCCATGAAAGCCCCAGGGCTCTGTGGGGCCTGGTCATTGCTGCTCTCCAGTCTAACCTGTAATCTCCATGCTCCGGCCACCTTGTGTTCTCGAATTCCTTATCATGCTGTGTATGCCCCTCTCTGGCCTTCCACATGCTGTTCCCTCTGGGGCACATCTCCTCCTCAACCCTTTCCCCTCTTTCCCTTACTAAGCACACTCTCTTCACACCTGAACTTAAATACCCCCAGTTCCTCAGACCTGAAGAAGGTCTGCTGCAAAATGTGGCTCCATGGCCTCATTGCCCTCCATTGTTGCAGCCAGCTCACCGTTCCAGAATTTGTCTCTGCGCTTCACCATCAGCAGTGACACCTGGATGGGATCAAGTTCATTTTTTACTGCGTGTCCCCAGGGCCTCACTCGAGGACAGGGACTTAATGAGCACAGGTGTATAAACACACATATGCATGCATACATGCAGATATATATATGAACATATTAATATATATTATGTCAGTGTTTGCAATATTAAATTAAATTATGTGATTATGATAAGTACAGCTAATATAAATGGGGTTAGGGACAAACTCAGTTTGACTCTTGGCAAGTTTATAACATAGCTAATGAGGGTCGAAGTGCGCGGGCGTACTTTTAAACCACTTTTAAGCGACTGTGATTCAGTCAGATCTGCTGCTGGAAAGATTACTGACTCCAGGCTTGACAGAGTGTGTCTTGGTCACACTCCCAACCTCGGGTGGGAACTCATCCAGCCTCATGGCGGGAACTCAACACAGGCTCAATGTAATGAGTAGAGGAAAGAGGAGTCATCACAATGTGGATCGCTTAGTGCTTTTCAGAAATACACCTTCACTTGGGAAGAACAAACGGAAGATGAGAATGCGTCAGGTTAATTTCCAAGTTTCACCCCATCCATGTTGCATGCAGACTTAGGACAGGTTCTCTCTTGTCAGAGAGGATATAACCTATTTTTTGTCACTGAGCTAAAACATAAAAAAGATACTCATGGTGCCCGGGGGTGGAGATTTTAAATAATTCAAGAAAAACTTGATGCAAGCCAGGACTGCATTGATGGGTTGCTTAGTGGGATAAATGGCTACCAGCTGAGACCGTTCAGGGCGCCGAGGCCATCAGTTAGATTCTTTGCTTTGTCACGGGAAAGTGTTGGTGAACCTGGCCGAGTCAGGAGTGCCATTCAAGTGGAAGACAGTTAAGAGAGTCTCCTCTCATTGTCAAGTAAATGTCCTTTAGGCACGAAGACCTAGAGAGAGACAAAAGCACAGATGAAAATATGGTGAAAAGCCCTGGAAGAGGGATGTAGAGGTGCAAAGGGAGTGGATTTTAGTGGAGGACCAGGTAGGGAAATCTTTCGCTGTGGTGCCCATGACTGTGGAAAATAGCAAATGAGATCTAAATTTATTTCATTGGTGATATAGTCCCTGATTTCAAGACATAAAAATATATGTAAATATATATCTTTTAAAATCAGAGTTTTTCTTGTTTTATAGTTTATGAATTAGTCTAATTAATAAGAATAAATGAGGTTTTGCTGGAATTTGTAAGGCAATGTGACTATCAGAAAGCTATTACTAGCAAATAGAGGCACAACAAAAATTATTTCCTATAAACCATCCCAGAATCTTTTTCAAATGTATTCTTACCAAGATTTTCACTAGCTGTCTCCCATAGGTACTAGACATGCGTCCTTGAGGAAGACATCACCCAGTATACACTCAATTAAAACAGATAATGTGAACCACACCCAAATTGCTTCTTAATAAAAGTTACTTCGAGGGGCCCCTGGGTGGCTCAGTGGGTTGAGCATCTGACTCTTGATTTCAGCTCAGGTCGTGATCTCCACTTCCTGAGATGGAACACCTCATGGCGCTCAGCACTGACAGTACAGAGCCTGCTTGGGATTCTGTCTCACCCTCTCTCTCTGCTCCTCCCTTGCTTGTGCGCTCTCAGTCACTGTCTTAAAATAAATAAATAAATAAACAAACAAACTTTAAAAGAATTAGAAAAAATTTCTTCGAGCTAGGGCTTTAAGATGTATGAATAACAATGCAGTAGGAGAATGTTGTAAGAACACATAATATTGTGAGAGGGGTAGTATTGTCAAATTATTATAAGAGAACAAAACAGGTTACTTCTGCTTTTGAGGTCTGTGTCAATAACCTATCTTCACGTATTCCTCTATTCATAGAGAAATTGATAGATTACTTTAAAAAGGAGAAAAACAATACAGAATAAGTATTAGAGATAGTTTGCTGCTAAATATAACTGTGGAGCTAAAGCAGAGGAATAAAAAAAATTGACATTAAGTAGACCCAGGACATTTCAGAAAATGTAATCCCTAAAAATGAATTTTTGAACGACTGGGAAGTGATGAGAAAAACCATAGTCTAAACCATGTCCCGTATTTGAAATAATTCCCTCAGGAAAATTCATATACAAATTCTGGGGCTCAGGATCCATTTTCTAAATGTTATAGACTTTCATTCATTTGTGGTCTCAATTTCTAATTGATCATAGGTAATAAGAATGCAGAAATGGAAACTGACATTTAAAAGTCCTGAGATTTTAGTGTATAATTCTTGTTAATAGGATTTGAGTTCATGCCTAATTGCATTTATGATCAATGTTCAAGTAGAGGTTGTTTTTCCATAAAAAAATTTTTTATGCCTAATTAAGCTTTATAGGAGGAAAAAATGCCAGGAATTTAAACTTTGCCACCATTTGGTTTTAAGGTAGTTTATGTCTGCTCTAATTAAAAATCAGATGTTTCATTTTGAAAACTTAAAGATAAATGTACTATTTAATTTATCCTGTTTTCTTCTTTTACGGCAGATTAAATACAAAGAAAAATTTGATAATGAAATGAGGGATAAGAAACATCATTACAATCCTCTTGAAAATGCTTCTTTTAGGCAAAGTCAGCTTGTCACCGCACTGGTGAGCGATGTAAGTTACTTTGTGCCTCAGGACTTGTGCGTCACACAATTGTTTTCAGTATCTTTTGAATCGAATGTATTGTAATGACTAATTACTAATACTTACTCAAGACCTGGAGTTCACATGTAATTTTAGTTGCAAACACCGAACCGTGCTTTTCTTAAGCTTTCTTAAGAAAAATATATTATTGTAAGTTACCATTAATGTTTACTGATTACTGATTAGTTAATAAGTTAGGAATAGTATTGCTAATAAAACTATTATATCTGATCAAGAGTAGGAATAGATTACAGAGTAGTGTGTAGTATCTTGAATTAGTGGTTCTGACAACAGTTAAACTCATGTAATTGTGCCCAGGAAATTGGGCTCCTGTGAAGTATAACCTGGTATATGGTAGTTTATAAGAAAGAAATTTTCAGAAATTGCACTTGTAACTGCTTACAGTGTCTTTCCTATATCCCTTATGCAAATGCCGTGAAATACAGCTTCACAAATTTGGTTTCATTTTATGTTTTTTAAAATAATCAAGTTTCAATTCGCAATAAAAAATGCCTTAAATTTTTATCAGAACTAGGCAGAGTGGAAAAACAGAAACATGGAGAGGAATGGATTGTTTTGGTACGGTTGAAGGCTGTACAGGTATTAAGATGAAGAATTGTTGAACTGTGCTTTGTTAGATCGCTGAAACTTTTCAAGTCTTGGAATATCCTTTGGACTCAGCATAGCTTATTTTCCTTAATGTTTAGTAGGTGTTGTTATTTGTGCCCCTTAACTCACTTGTGTTTCTTATCAACACTTGAAATGGGTCTTTGAGGATCGCTGGGAATATCAGAATGGCCTCTTTCTCTTACTTGTTTTTATCTTGTGTGCGTGTAAAAATGGAAAACAAATAGAGTCGGAATATATGTAAAGGAACTGAGAGCATAGTGCTTGAAAGCACAAGGTTTAGAATTGGATTGCTTGAATTTGAATCTGTTCTGCCTCTTAATTTTATACCTTCGCCTTTCTGTGCCTCAGTTTACTCATCTGTAAAATGGAGATTCTTAAAGTATTTACCCACAAGGGTTGTTGTGGAAAGTAAATACTACGTATAAAGTGTTTGGCACACCGTAAGTGCTCAAATATTTTCTGTTATTAATATTTTAGTATTACTATTACTAATATTGTATTTTTAGAGCAGTTGGTAGGAAAAGAAGAAGATCTATGTTGCAATAGGATGAAAAGCACCAAAAGCCCTAAAATTGTTCCAAAGCATAATTAAAACATGGTAATTTGTAAAAAATAGTCTTCTTTTTGTTTTGAAAACAGAATGGCTATTAAAGTTACTTGATTCTGTGAACGTCGCCCTTTCTAAATATGTAAACAATAATAGCAATTACCAAAATATTTTCAAGACCCTGGAAGTAACTTTTTTAACTCATTCAGTAGTAAATGAGCACCATCTAGTGGCTGCTTGTAAATCCGTCTGTTAATGTACCGCTACATGGTGATTTCCGATGTAGTAAAAGTAATAATGGCAATAGTGCAAAACCATATTTTCTTCTCCTAGACAGTATTATGTTCCATGTTATTTTCATAGGTGAAGTACAAGAAAGACTTTGAAAATATGCATGACCCAGTCTCAGATCTCCCAAACTTGTTTTTAGACCATGCTTTGAAAGCCAGCAAAATGGTCAGCCGAGTAAGTGGGTTTGCTTGATGGCAGCTGTCGATGCCGTGTGGCTGCTTGGAGCTAGGACTCTGCAGCGTTCATGAGCATATCTGCTAGGCGCACCTTGGCTCCACTCCTCCCAGAATAACTAACGCACTGAAAAGTAGTGGTCTGCCTGCTTAAAGCCACCAAAGCTGTCGCTTGACACGGGTTCTTGCTGGCTCTTTCATATCGCTTGAATGCACACTTCCTTGTTGAGTAATTACACTTCAAGTGCTTGCACGAGTGTTCTTTCTGTCTTTTTTCTTCCTCTTTCTTCTTCCGAATCAGACTGAAGCCACTTGAAGGTCAGGCTTACATCAGGGACCTTTTATTTTATGTGGGCCAGAGCAGAGTGTCTGGTATTTAAATGGGCCTCAGAAACATACAAAATTGTCTTAGTCTAATTTGTATTTTCTCTGGAAATACATCCTACATTACATCGACACTCTACTTTTGGTCTTGTGAAGGCTTCCGTGTTGTCTTCAGAGCAATTGGGGAGAGAGTGGATTTTTCATGTCCTAATGAAAATATCTGTGCATGCTCCACAGTAGTCATCCCATCAGAACTCCCCTCCTGGTTGCCGTTTCAAATACTTAGCATGTGGACCCTGACTTCACCGGTTCTTATAGCTGAGGACCCCGCCTCACCTGTGTCCCATCGCCTACATCTCAGAATAGCCCATGGTGATGATGAACTGTAATTTGGCTTCAAGTCATTTCTCTGCCAGTTTTAATAATTACATGCTCACTCAGTCACTCAAAATTATCCAGGTGTATTGAATATCTGCTTTGGGCCAGGTAAGACCAGATGGAAAAGTATGGTGGGCAAGGAATGTGAAAATAGTTGTCATCAGGAGACATGCTTACAGTTCTGGGTTGAAAAAAAAATCTGAAGTCCAGACCTGGTTCCCCAGCTGTTAAGGAATGAGATAAAGAGGTGCCAGGGTGTCTCAGTCAGTTGACTATTTGACTCTTGGTTTCAGCTCAGTTCATGATCTCACGGTTCATGACTTTGAGCCCCACGTCGGGCTCTGCACTGACAGTGCGGAGCCTGCTTGGGATTCTTTCTCTCCCTGCCCCTCCCTGACTTGCTCTAACTCTCTCTCTCAAAAAATAAATAAATAAACATAAAAGAATGAGATACGGCTTCAGATCAGGTTTAGAAATGTCTATGCTTGGCTTTGATGTATTGAAAATTCTGTTCATTATTTTGTAATCGTCTTTTCTCCACCACTATCCCTGACCTCCTTCTTGAAACATATTACGCATGTAAAGAATTCATACTTGCAGAGATTTTTAACTTAATCGACTTTATCACTGGTCCTCAGAAGAAAAGCAGTCTGCCCTTCTTCTGTCTGTCGGGCAGGCGGAGAACCGTAGAGGACTGTCAGGTGCAGAATCAGACTCAGGTCCAGGACATTTTGTTCATGCTTCCTGCTGTTTCAGTGCTCATTCATCCCCCTCTGCACGGAGTCCTGCGCTCCTTGAGTGGCTCTTTCAGATTCACGTTTTCCTCCATAACTCATAGGGGTGTTTCTAAAAGTCTGTATGTTTCTATTCTCCAATCTGGGGGCTTTCTTCACGTTCAGTCTTTGCCATCCTGTTTTGATCATTGCAGTCCCATTTGCCCTTCACTGTTCCCCATCCATGCTTGGGTTAAATTTCCCAAGGATGCGGGGCGCCTGGGTGGCTTAGTCGGTTAAGCGTCCGACTTTCGCTTAGGTCATGATCTCGCGGTTCGTGGGTTCGAGCCCCGCGTCAGGCTCTGTGCTGACTGCCAGCTCAGAGCCTGGAGGCTGTTTCAGTCTGTGACTCCCTCTCTCTCTGACCCTCCCCTGCTCACGCTGTCTCTCTCTCTCTCCTAGAAATAAATAAAACATTAAAAAAATTTTTTTAAATTAATTTCCCGAGGACGTGAGGATTCGTGTGTAGATTAAACAATAAAAATATCATGATGGTAATTTCAAAATTTGGTAGCTGGAAAAATACATACCACTCCTAAGCAATGTTTCTTTTCAAGAATATTTGAATACTTCTTTTCAAGAATATTGACCTTTATATTTTATGAGAGTGGCGAAATTAAGAAATCATAGCTTAATATAAATTGTTTCTATCACCTCTTCAGCAGAGAAACCCAGCAAAGTCATATATTACATTTATTGTATATCCATTTTTAAAGTCTAAATCTTCATTCAGGTGGTACCTTTGCCTAGATTATAGACTTTTGTCCCCCGTTGAAAAATTGTGGCTGAATAATTACTTCATGGGAGAAAAAGAGTTTAAGACTCAAATGTGTTACTCTGAGGTGTCTATTTATTAAAGTTGTATGATAATGCATTGGCTAAAATTTACTGTACATTAGAATTGCCCTCTTTTAAATTTTAATGTAAAGAGAATGGGAATTTTGCTGATTTATAAAGGCAACTTAATTTTAGCAAAAGATTGAATAAGAAAGTGCTTAATACAGACATCCTGCCAAAATTAGTTGTCAGTTTGTTATAAATCGTTGTTTTTTAAAGACCTCTAAATGTCTTTGGTATAGATCAATTTTTTAAAAACGCTTAGTGTGTAGAGTAAAATTTGTCCTTATGAGTTTGAATGGCCATTCTAATTAAAGCCTTGAAGGAATATTTCCTCCTGGAAAGTAGAGCTCTGGCTCTTTTACAACATTGCATAAGTGAAAAACATATACTGCATGTTACTCTGTGTTGTACCCACTAGGAGGCAACAGAGACTATTATATAAGGGACAGCAAGTCTTGAAAATTGTTTTGCAGACCTTAGTTCAAATACATTTTGATTTGTTGTTGTTGTCGTTTGTTTTTTAAATAGAAGTTTCTGAAATTCCCTGTCACTAACACCCATCACCAAGGACAGTATTTATTAACCTTTCCTCAGTTTCTATCCACTATTGCAGACAGAGCATCCTAGGCTTTACTAATTCTGGATTTTAAACCTATTCCTGGTATAGAGTACGTTCTAGCATGTGACATTCAATTTATGATTATTTTAATTAGGTATTATAAAATAACTTTTAAGTACATTATAAAGTCGCTGAGCATGCTATTATCCTTTGACTTTATTTATTTAAATTAGCAAAGGAGCCAAAATTTAGGGCTTATTTCCTTCAGTCAAGATGTTGGAACATTTGCATGAGCTCCCTGGGGCAGTTTACTCCCTCACTTTATTCTGGTTAGAGGGTTGGGGAACATAGGTCGTAGTGCTCTAATCGTCGGGAAGGGCTTTGGGGACCGTCGCTATGTCTCTCTTCTTGTGTGCGTCATCCCATCCTTTCCATCCCTGGCTCTGGGGTCTCTTCCTGCTTCACTCTCAGATCCCTGGAGCATCTGCTAAGACCTGAAAGTCACTTCTCTTCTGGCCAGCTCTTTCCTGCTCTCTTTCGAATGCAGCTTCCCTCTCGCTACATCCTACACAAAATCGCCATTTTCCCTGAAATCCTCATTGCCCAAGGAGCAACCAGCTTTCGCCTAAGTCTGTGTAGACTTGAGTCTTTGAGAGCTACTCTTTATCTCTAGAAGTCTTTTCCAAATAATGAAAAACAACTAAGTGTCTGATCTTTAATGGGAGAAATCGTGGAGCAATTTTTGTTTTATCGCAGCGTGTTGTATTTGGAGTTCCACAGTTGCCAAATTTGGCGTCTCTTCCAAATTCACCTTTTTGTCTGTGTATCGAAATAGTAGTCGTAATCTAATTTCTTCACCTTAAAAATTCAACCGACTCTACCCAGACTCCTCTGTTTCTCTTGCAGGCACCTCCTACCCCCTCCTTTTAGGAAAATTAGTTGAATTAGTTCTCACTCTCTCATTTTCCTTATGACCCCTGCCACTCTTCCTCGTGGCTGAGCCCTCATGTACAATGTTTTTCCTTTTCTGACCCCAGCTTTCCTTTCCTCTGTTATTTCTTCCTTCCTTCTCTTCTCGTAGATGCTATCCAATGCATTTCTGTTTGAGGGTAGGGGCTGGACAGATTGCCTTTATTTTGCCAACTTGCTGCTTCACATGAGTCCCGTCACTGGCTTTTCTGTTGCCACTCCCCCTGTCTTTTACATTATGTTGACACCTAATTGTCCCCTGCTTGTCTTGAGTGTCTCGCTTTGGCCACCTAGAGCTGGTCTATACAGACTTGTAGGTTTCCCTTAGTGTCAGAAATCTACAAGAGCAGCCAGCGCAATGGGACCTGATTGTTTGTAGCTCTTGTTGCCTTGTTTTTTTCGGTTTGCATTCGTAAGTATTAGTTGCTCTAATCAGTCTCTTTTATTCTGAATTTATTTTCATGTTCATTTTCTTGTTCTCTGTTTTAGCAAGAGTATAGAAAGCTTTTTGAGGAAAACAAAGGAATGTATCATTTTGATGCGGATGCTGCGGAACACTTGCACCATAAAGGCAATGCCACGCTCCAGAGCCAGGTGCGCCCCCACCCACACCCCGGTCTGGACCCTTCAACTACTCACTGCCGTGCGCCTCTTGTGTGCAGGTGCAGGTGCTGAAAAGAATGTGCATCTTGAGGAAGTGAACGTTGCTTTGGAAAATGTCAAGCACTATTCCATCTTACTGGGTTGGCGAAGCTGGAACCCTGTTTCAGTGGAAAAGCAGTTCGGAAAAAAAGTTACTTGACACAATTTTATACTTCTATATCAATTAATTAAATGATGATCAAATCTCATGATGATTTCAGTTTTTATAGTGTACTAATTTGTCATTTTGAGCTGCACAATTAATTTTCCAGATGCAATGTTTATTATAGTTTCTCAGACCAGTTACAAGTGTGATTAAAAATTATCTTACATTAATGTTTCTTTCAACTATAAAATTCTGTGTCTTCCTTGAAAGAAATTTTAAAAAATCTTTCATGCACACTTTAAAGTTGGTATCTGTATATTTCTTTTATTCTGTGTTTCAGCAGTTACAAAAGATGTCATTCTAGCATCTATTAAGATATAATTTTACATCAGTCTATTAAATGTATCCTGTGGAATATAAATTCCTTAATGATTTGATACTCACCTTCATTTATTTAAAAAATATACAAATCAAAAAAATTAGGGGCGCCTGGGTGGCTCAGTCGGTTAAATGTCCGACTTCAGCTCAGGTCATGATCTCACGGTTTGTGGGTTCACGGTCCATGTCGGGCTCTGTGCTGACATCTCAGAGCCTGGAGCCTGTTTCAGACTCTGTGTCTCCCTCTCTCTCTCTGCCTCTTCCCCACTTGTGTTCTGTCTGTCTCTCTCTCAAAAATAAATGGAGATTAAAAAAATTTTTTTAATTAAAAAATAAAAAAATCTACAATTCATCTGCTTTAAGGTTTGGACACATACGGTTTTTTTTTCTCTTTTTATTCTTATTTTCATTTAATTTTTCCCACAAAGTTTTATCCTAGCATAGTATGTTACTACACTTCACTTTCATTGATTATCTAGTTCTCTGAAACAAAAATAGTCCTATAAGTAGGAATTTAAAAACTCTGTTTACATTTCTTGCTACCACAAAGTTCTAAGTATTGAAAAGCTGCTTTTGTATTTAAATGTCATTAAAACTACTGTTATTATTATATAACTTAAGAAGCAATTTCATAAAAAATTATTTACACATAAGGATTTTAATGAAAATACATTTCTGAAGGAAATAAATCATGATCAAAACTTTTCTGTGAATTTAATTTACAAAGGGATGTTGCTAAGAAAAAGCCAGTCCCTCTTGACAGCTACGTATAATTCTGATTTCTGTTATTAGGAGATAGAACATATCGATCGTTTTATAAACTAAAATAGGACGGAGATTGCTTGTAATTGAAATAAATAATTCATGACATGATATTATGAAATAATGCAGGGGGAAACCGAAAGCAATCTCATAAAAGCTGTGTGTGTGTGTTTTACTCGATGGCTATGGAAAAATTCAGTGACCCTAGAGAACACTGCCTTCCCTTTGACAGGAAGGCAAAATCATACCTATGTTTTCCTCCTTGTTCATGATTTACTCATAGACTTTTGAAGCATGACAGGGATCTCTCTGTCTCTGTCTCTATATGTATGTGTGTATACCATGAGTGTATCCATATTAACCCTGTATATATGAGGTATATCTATATATCCCGGTGATTCAAATACTTCATCCAAGTCCCAGAAGGACATTATTTAGCAGTTCTAAGTTATTTTTGTTTCTTAAATATTTTTATATATTTCCTGTTTACTTTCTTTGTATGTTATTAACCTCAGGGAGCCCACTGACCAACCCAAGTGGCCAGAATAATGTGATTTTAGAAACTAGAATGATTAATTTTAGCCATACTTCTTTTCCTTCGCTCTATTTGTAGAAGGGCGTATGAGGTTTATGTGGTTTTTATACATTTTTTTCAATGAAGGTCAAGTACAAAGAAGAGTATGAGAAAAATAAGGGGAAGTCCATGCTTGAATTTGTTGAGACACCGTTGTATCAGACTTCAAAGGAGGCTCAGAAGATGCAGAGTGAGGTGAGTCCCTTCGATTTGCTATCAACTATTTTTTTTAAGTTTATTTATTTTTAAGTAACCTCTACACCCAACGTGGGGCTCAAACTCATGACCCCGAGATCAGTAGTTAAGTGCTCTCCCAACTGAGCCAGCCAGGTGCCCCTGTTATCAAGTGTTTAATGCATATTGTTGATGTTTTATCATTTGAAAGGAACTAGTAGAGTAATTCAGAAGGTTGAGTGGGTCTAGAGGAAGGCACACTGCCCAGGAGGCCCAGGGACTCCCCTTCTAGAACCAGCATCCTGTCTAGGTCATGGGAATTCTGTGGCCCTTAGTTTTTGTCATTTGGCAAGTATAATATCAGGCCGGGTGAACTCTTAACCACCCTCTCAGCTTTCACATTCTATGATTATAAAGTTGACACTTTCAGGTTGTGTCCATGTAAAAAGTATGATGAATAGAGGGAAAAAATGAAAAGAAAAGAAAGAGCTGGCTGCTTTACTTGCCTTTTATTTTTCAGTGACAAGAGAACTAACATTTATTAGATACTTACTTTGTGCTAAGCAATCTGATCAAACCTTTATAGATGTCAGCTTATTTAATCCCCTAGGCTGATAATCATCCAATGCAATTAATTGTCGTATCTGAAATTACATATCTGGTAAATGCCAATGTTTTAGGGCTTGGTGAAGTCATGAATGGTTCCCTTCTTTCTGTTGGCTTATTTAGTTGATGTTTCCCTCCCCCCGCAAATAAACAGTGATGTGGAAATTTTAAAATATCAAGAGAAGAGAGCAGTTAAGAATTTTTTTGTTCGTATGTGCTTCGTTCTGTAGTTAAAATGATGCTGAATCACGTCCAGATATTCCCCAAATGGCTTTGCTCTTTCCCAGTGAGATTTCTTTGTTCCTTTTTTGTCCCTATATTTTTGGGGACCAGTCATCAGCACAGAAGAGTTTCTCTGCAGCCAACATCCAGATTCTGTGGGTACATCAAGTTCTTACTTCAGAGGGACAGAAATAGTGGACGGTACTATCAGCTGACTACAGCACAGTGTTGTGGGGTGTTAGCCATGTGTGCCCTGTGGGCACTCTCTTTTCTGTCAATAACAACACCAAAGGAGGGAGAAAGGATAACTTCTGGGCAACAGAACCCTCACAAGAATTTTGAAAACAATTTATGTGTTATTGGTCGAAATGTCACAATTCATCTTCTCAAGGAAAGGGCACTCAGATGTTGCTACGGCTTGTTGAATTATCCAAGTTGTTTAATTTCTTCTTCAAGCAAGAAAGGAGAAGATAATCGCTTGTGTTTTTCATACCTCGTAACTTCTTAAGCCAATAGAGAGGAGTTTGATCAAGAATAGTCAGGTGAATCTTTTGACTCAATTAGCTCTTGGTTTTAACTGAACTGGCAGAGCAGGTAAATCTGGTCATCCAGAAGCCCTACAACTTACGTTTAATGGGATAGCTCTTACCAGCCTATCTTTGTCTTCTTCAGTTTGGGCTGCTCTTAACCAAGTACCACAGACTGAGGAGTTAAACAACAGAAATGTACTCCTTATGCTTCTGGGGGCTGGAGGTCTGAGATCAGGGGGCCAGGAGGTCATGGTTCTAGTGAGATCCTTTTATGGGTGACATACTGCTGCCTTCTTTCTGTGTGCTCACGTAGCGGAGGAGCAGAGGGGGGAAGCAAGCTGTCTCACGTCTTGTAGGAGGGCGCTAACCCGCTAACCCCACCATGAGGGCCTCCTCCTCCTGACCTCACCTGTCCTCAGCACTTTCCAAAGGCCCCACCTCCTAATGCTTCCGTCACATTGGGGAGGTGGGGTTTCAACATACGCATTTTGGAGTGACACGAACATTCAGCCCTATTACCTTTTCTGCATTTCGAGATAGTGTATAAAGTGCTGTGTTGTTGCCAAGTGGGGAGAGTTCTAAGGCAACCTCTGGGGTGAGTCTCCGGGGCCTACAGCGGGTATAGTTCTTACCTGGCATCGCTCCTTCTCGGCCTTCTCTCACTCATAGTCCTCTCTCCTCCTTTCAGGAAAAGACCAGCACCTTCAAACTGGGCTTTCTGTGTTCTTCCCGTCAGCCCCAGGCTACTGTTATTTAGCTGTTTGCGCTACGTTGCCTTGTCTTATTCACAAAGAGATATGTTCCTGTCTTCTTACTCTTTGCTTCTGAGAACCCCATTTTCCCTGCCCTTCTTCCTCTCCGTGGCTGTGGTGCTCAAACTCTGTGTCTCAGGGAAGGCTGTTGGGAAGGCACATCCCTCGCTGCTGCCTCAGGACATTGCTTCCGTGGGCCTCGCAGTGGAGCCTGGGAATTGTATTCTAACAACGTCCCGGGAGCTTCTGAGGTGGGTGGTACAGCGACCACACTGAGAAACAGGGATTCATCGAAGACAACAAGTAGTCCCCTAACTTAAAGTCATAAAAAACAGATGGAACAACCCAAAATATAAAGATAATCTGCTTCTCAGAGATTCAATGGGCAAAGTAGGCCAAATTGTTTTTCTTTATGTGAAATGCTCACCTAATGTTTCCCTATTGGGGATGGACCCTCAAAGGAGAAAGATTCCCCAAGAACAAATTTCACTAGGCAGATGACAGGGACTTTAAAGGTACCTTCTGCACTGAAAAAGTGCTATTGTTCCTATGTAGGCGTGTTTCCTTGTGCAGAGCTTGGAAGTCTGCTAACTTTGCCTTTACCATTGTTATGGCTACAAAGTACGAGAGAAAAATAAACTGAAAAAACAAAAAATCTGTCAGATGAACTGATCGATTCCTTCTGGTTGGCTGTTTCGACGTCAGGTGCAAACGGCTTTAAGGTTTAACTGTAGTGATACATTTATTATATGCCATGGAGTTTGCTTACATCAGGGGCCGTGTGGGCCTTTTGTTAATATTGGTTTTCAATTTTCGCTATTCCGATTTCTGGTATTGTTACTAAGGGGCAATTATCTCTTGCAGAGGCTGAGACACGTTTTCCTGTTAATTATAGCCATTGGCTATTGGATTTTTAGGCTCAGCAATTATGTTTCTGCTCAGCAGGGCTTGAGAAGAGAGAGAGAGAAATTTTCCCACAGAAAATATCTTGGGACCAAATTTATACTCTAAAGACTAGAAACACAACATATCTAAAAATCTTAGACCAGTTGATGTGAAAGATATCTTTAAATGTAGGACCAACCAAGTGGACACAGACAGAACATGTGGCTTAGGGATGGTTTTTATCCCTAAGAGGTAAGCTTGTCAATGAGCCTCCTGAGCTCCTGTGAGCTCAGTGTTTATGATCTCGGGAATAGTCACTAATATTTCTGTTACAACCTATAATTGGGCTTCTCTCACTTTCTTCTATTGCCAGGTATAGGTTTAATCTGTCTGCTTTCTAGAAGAAATCTCTAAATCTGGCTTTGGAAAGGTCTTTGTCTTCTGTTTCATAAATAGAGCTCTCTTGACAAAAAGCATACTAAAGGTTGTTTCTTTCCCCCCTGGTCATGTGTTGGCCAGTTCTGGTCATGATCAACCATCATTAATGACTTATTTCAGCAAAATATTTTTTTTCATAGAAGAAGGCATTTTTGAAGTCAATTATCTGAAGTAAATAAATATACCCGTATTTATATTTTTACTATTTTGAAAGAGACATTTTTAGCCTGGGAATGCCCTGGATTCAGCTTTATAAGCGTATAATTTCAGTTAGTTCCACATAAAGAAGGGGACAATTTCTCATTGTTCTTTGGTAATATATATAGTTCCTTTAATTCAGAATGTTCTCAAGGCGACTTCTTAATCACTTTGTTAAATTTTAATATTTCCGGGACATCTATTGTGGCCTTTTGTGTGTGTGTGTGTGTGTGTGTGTGTGTGTGTATGTGTGTGTGGTTCTACATAGATCATTTGTTGAACCAACTGTATGAGACACAAATACAGGTGAGTCAACAACATGCCTCTCTTATCCTCCCTCGTGGTTTGGGAGAATTTCTTTATGCAATTACCTGTCTCTGCAATAAGTATATTATGAACCTGGAAATGGCTTTTCATTTTGCATTAGTAAACAATCTCTCTGCAGTAATTACTTTCATCATCTTTATGATGCACTTTAAATAAGATACTTCGCTGGTAAAATATGGGCTTTTGTTTGTCTGCTAAGTATTTTACATGGACGGACGTTTTTGTTATTGAGAGAGATTATTTTTATACTCCAAAAGCATGAGTTGCCATTGTTTTTCAAATACATTGTTTAAATGTTGGAATTGAGGGAATCTTAGCGAAATGATGGCAGAGAATGTCAAAGGGGCCAGTGGGGGTATGGATGCCTGCCCTCCACAGCACTGTGGTCATTCCCCTTTTCACTCCTTGTTGTGAACCTGGAGAACAATTTATCAGGTTGAAGAGAAGACTCCTCATAGTGTGATTTAATTCATATTGAACTCCGCAGATTGGTAGAGAAATATTCTCAGTGCCAAAATCATTAAGGGGAAATGTGCGCCAGCCTCCATTACATTTTAGAGATGGCCTTTGCTGAATTCACAAAAGGATAAGGCTGAAAGAGGTGAGAAGAACCTCAACATTAATGCTACTGTGCTTTGAATGGCCTCCTTGAAGCCAGGTTTTCTTCCCGTGGATGATCCACTTCCTTTAGAACGAACCAGTCACGTGATTCTCAAGTAGCCAACTTTACTGGTTTTCCCCTCCAAACTAGCTGACGTCAAATGATGACAGACTGCTAAGATGTGACACAGCCTCACTCAGAGTGTTTTCCCAGAGGCAGTTGGTACTTGATGGCTCTGTTTTTGTTTGGTAGAATTCTAAAACTTACCGTAAACTTGGAATCATTCTCTTGTGCCTATGAAGACTCTGAGGTGGTAGAATTATAGAAGGAAAACATCAATTTTGTTCCGGGAGCTCTTGTTCTAATACCTTCTCAAGTCACTAGTATGTGCTAAATTTAAAATTATGTGTTTTTATTTAACAGAAAGTTTACAGAGAGGATTTTGAGAAAGAGGTTAAAGGAAGGTCATCACTAGACTTAGACAAGACTCCAGAATTTTTACATGTAAAGTACATCACCAACCTTCTGAAAGAGGTATGATCTTGCAAGTTACTATTACATATTGTGAAAGAAAACTAAAGAAATAACGCAGGAAATATTTACAGTTCTCTACTGTTTAAGATGTTAATCCATCCCTCTACTCTTACTTTAACCTTTATTAATAGAGTTTTCCATTTTCATTACTAACAGGAAAGTATGTGTTAATATTTCCACTTAAAGTTGGGGGAAGAACTCATCCAGATTTCCTGGAAAAACTTGAAAAATATTCTGATTTTGTGTTTGGTTCTATCTCAGAAGATCTACAAATAGTTGGTTTTACAGCAGGTTTCAAAAAAAATTTTTTTTTTAATATGGGCAAGACAAGCTTAATTCTTTAAAATTTAGTTATTTAAGAATGTATATGAGAACCAGCTTTTTCTGAAATACCCTTGTAGCATTCTCATGATATCTGATATCAGAAATGAGATGCTCCAATGTGAAGGTTTGAATAAATGGCACATTATTTATGAGCAGATTGTGTTCAAAGGGGGACAAATATTGAGCATATAGGCCATAGGAACTCGTGTTGATTTTTCATTGTACTCTCAGCAGGATTCTCCCCCTCCCCTAACTTGGTGCATTTTGGCTCACAATTAATGGATTATGTTTATTGAACATTAAGGTCTTCAAACCTAACAATTCAAAATACCCAGTTCCTAGTCCATCCCTTTAAAAGTTTATTTCTGTTTTTGTTTATTAATGCCTGAAAAGTAACATGGAGCTCTTCCAACTCCCTGTTTAAATAGATTGTCTTTAGGGGGCCCTTGGGTGGCTCAGTTGGTTGAGCATCTGACTTTGGCTCACTCAGGTCATGATCTCATGGTCTGTGGGTTGGAGCCGCTGTCTGGCTCCGCGCTGACAGCTCAGAGCCTGGATGGAGCCTGCTTCATGTGTCTCTTTCTCTCTCTGCCCCTCCCCCGCTTGTGCTCTCTTTCCTCCTCTTGCAAAAATTTTTTAAAAATAGATTCTATTTACATTAAGGAGAAGTATTAGAAAACTCCATTTCACCCCGAATTTTGAACTGAAGAAACTATTCCGCAAAAAAATATCTTAAACCAGTGAAATAAATTCGAGTACAATCACCTACACGAACTTCCTTAATAACCGAATGCCAACTGGCCTTTACCATTAAACTGCTCTTAGAAATGTAATGTGCTTCACCACTGTAATGTATGTGGGCCTGAAATAGGTGTATAATTCATGCAAGAGTGCTTTTTCTATCCCATCTTTTCTCACTGCTAGTTCTATACAATTTTTTGAAGTTGAAGGCTCATCGAATGGCAACTTCCTATTCTTACTGTCTTCTGTTTAAAAAATATGCACTATTTATATGAAATTTTTAAAGGGAAGTCTTTTTGGCATTTATATACAAATGACAATGCAAGGACTATTTTAAGGTCCATAAATGACTTTAATGTACATGCCATTGACTTTCTCTTTAACTTCTCTTTTTGAATGAATCTTATTTTAGATTTATTGATGCAGAGCTTATGCATCAGGATAAGAAAAAGCCCAGAAGATGATGATTAAACATCTTCTAATTTAGTTATTTTTAAAGGGACTCTCAGTAGCTTAATGAAATTATAACTTTTCTTTCTAAGTATAAGCACTTAGCTTTAAATCGTCTTTGCAATTTTTACTTTATTATGGTTTTTACATTTACACTGCCATTCAGAATGTTCAAAAGATTGTTTTATACTTCATTTCATTTCATTCTCCCAATTGGCCTTTGACATGGTAGAAAAAGTATTTTTATTTTCATTTCGCCTGTGTGTGTGGAATCAAGGCTCTGTTACTTAAAGTCTTTTGAAGGTCAAGGGACCAAATAAGAGAAGAATTCTGACTTTCATCCAGATCATTGGGCTCCAGCTCTTTCTAAAATTACATTCAGGTCATTACAATGTTGTGTAGGCTCTTTGTTAAGCAGAGGACTAGCTAATTTAATTATAGTGGACAAAGAGAAAATAACATCAAGTAAACCTTAGAATTAACTGGAACATGACTTCTTATTATTAAAGGAAGTCCCATCTTTTATCTCCCAAGTTAGTCATAAGTGCGACTTAGTTGAATTAGATAAAAATATATATTGTTTTCATAATGCATTGAGTAGGAAAAGAAAAGAAATTCATTAGTAGAAAAAAAACCCCAAGTTGTATATAAATATTAGTAAAGACATTTGGATCTACTTAAACCATAATATTAAAATAGATGACATTTAAACTATGTATTATCAATCTGTAGGAAATTATTTGGTTTTATGGATCTGAGTAAAGTGGGTTTTTTTTTTTTCAAAACTTTGGCTACATTAATCCTTTTGATTTTGTAATTTTCAATTCTTTTTCAACTGTGATCTGTTGGTGATTCATATTTTATAGACAACCTTCAAAGAAATACTTCAAATAATTAATAAGAAGCATCCATTCCTAAGATCTTCTTCACCACTTAAAAGGAAGACATCTTTTTAAAATATGGCACCAATATGGTACCAAAATATGTTGAGAGAAGGGATGAAAGGGAAAATACTGATAAGACTGGAAGCCACTCTAAACATGACTAAAAGAGAAAATGAAGTCTCTGTAGGAAAGAAGGAGTGTGAATACTCAGGAGTCTGATTCGTTCCTCTCTAGAAATATTTTCTCCCTTCTGTGATCTCTAGAAAACATGAGAAACGGTTTATCAGTTAAAGAGTGTCCCAGGAAGTGCTGAACTGTAATGTTCTTGTCTCATAGAAGGAATATAAAAAAGATTTGGAAAATGAAATAAGAGGGAAAGGAATGGAACTTAACTCAGACGTTCTCGATATTCAGAGAGCAAAACGTGCATCTGAAATGGCGAGTGAGGTGAGTATATTCATTCACCAACTGAGAACATATGGATTTTTCAGTCGATTTCCTTGTCCGTAAGTCTTTCTCAAAGATTATATACAGACCACAACTTCTGTGTATAAGACAAATATGAGTAGCTATGTCCTAGTAGTCATTTCCCAGTCGATGAATTAAAAAAATATATATATATGTTCACCCTCTCCTTTCCGTGTGGCATGAGAAACATGACCATTTCCCCACTGTAGAGAAATAGACATCAACCAGACTAATAGAAGAACCCAGATTACTTTTATGAGATTTAACTTGGTCTTGCAAATAAGTGAAAGGCAGAAGGTTGGGAAGGAGCGCTGTGTTCCGTCAGTAATACAGTTCGTGAGCTCTCCTGCCCACAGCCCTGCAGAGCCCTTGGGCCCTTACCTCACCTGCTGGATGAGCCACAGCAGTCTCTTTAGGGAATGAAAGGGGCCATTGCTCTCTCTCTCTCTCTCTATTTTTTTAAATTTTTTAATGTTTTTATTTATTTTTGAGAGAGAGAGAGAGAGCAGGGGAGGGTCAGAGAGATAAGGAGACACAGAATCTGAAGCAGGCTCCAGGCTCTGAGCTGTCAGCACAGAGCCCAACACGGGGCCCAAACCCACGAACCGTGAGATCATGACCTGAGCCAAAGTCGGGCGCTCAACTGACTGAGCCACCCAGGTGACCCGGCCATTGCTTTCTTGACATGGAATTTGTAGGAACGAATGACATGCCCCTGAAGCACTGTCAATGCTTTCTTTCATCCTCATGTTATGTTACTTTGGTGTCAGGTAATGGCACTCTGCCCGAAGGAGAGTCTAGCTGAGTTGAACAGTGAGACATTTAAAGTTGTGTCCCCATATGTTCGTAACCTGTGGTGGCGTTGATGATGGTGACTCCATTAATGAGGCTGCAGATGATAAGAACCCAACTCAAACCAGGTTAAGCAACAAAGGGAATGGTTTGGCTTATAAATAGTGAAGTCCAAAGTCAAGTCTCCTTCAGGTTGGAATCCAAATGATGTCTCTCTTCCCTCATCTCTCCATTCTGTTATCTTCTCTATGGCTTCAACCTCTGGAGGCTGTCTCCAAGTGATGGCCCCTCTAACAGTAGGATAGCTCACGTCTTTGCCATTGATCCCAGTGGGGAGTGAGCATCTGTTTCATATAGTTACAGTGAAGATCTCAGGATAGAATCTCATTGGGCCTATTCTATCCTGTGCCCACACCCACCTGTCCTAATTATTGTGTCTGGGGCCAGAGGAGTATAATGTGCGGATAATCTGGTATGGTTCTTATGATCCCTCATTTGTTTAGTTAACTTCTTTGGTAGTTTAATCATACTTTAAGTATAAAAGATTCTGAATTGTTATGGGTTTTAAGAAAACGTAGGCACATCATTGGCCATATTCATGTTCTTAAATAAGTTAAAGAAAGCATGAAACGCCACTCTGATGTCTTTGGCTAATACTGTCATCACAGATTCTTAAATTAGTAATTCTGTACAGATTTTTCTGTTATGGTGACATGTGCAGTCCACATTCAGATGTAGATCCTGTAATCACTTGTCAGTAATACTTGGAAAAATCCTTTTAGACTCGCAATGGCAGAGTCCGTCCACACAGAGTTGAATGGCATGATTGTAGCAGGAACAGTATCTGAAAATAGGAGTCGAAGACCAAAAGAAGCTATCACTTATTGAACACCTATTCTGCCCTGGGCACCGTGCTATATGCCACCTCATTGATCCCCGCAGGGATCCTGTGTGGAGGAATTGTTACCCACATTTTGCAGATGAGTAAACCAGAAATGTTAAACATTCCTAGTATCACAAAGCAATTGAGCACCCTGGCCTCAAAGTCAACCTTCTTTCTCCAGCAACAGCTCTTTTAAACCTCCTTCTTTATCCTCTGGCCCCTAAGACAATTGTCAGTGAAAATTCTCACCATGTATAGTAAAAATCTTCAGCATTTCCTATATTCTTTTTCAGTGAGAATAGTCACACAGTTCTAAGTAATTCAGAAAATTTAGTTCTAGGTGATCATTCATAGCACAAAGTAAGCTGTTTTCTTATCTTATGTTCAGCAAGTTTTTGGTATCATTGATTACAGATTGTATGTTTATCCACAGAGTGTCTGAATATTATAAAATGTTGGGTGTTTTTCTTTGTTTGTTTGTCTGTTACAGAAAGAGTACAAGAAAGACCTGGAGTCAAAAATTAAAGGGAAGGGAATGCAAGTTGGCACCGATACTCTTGAAATACAACATGCCAAAAAAGCTTCAGAGATCGCTAGTCAGGTTGGTGGAGCGAATGGTGGAGATGCCTTAGAACCTGTATTTTGGAATTTAACAAATCATATTCACAACCTGATTAGCACACAGAATTTCCCAAAGCCTTGTGAAACCATTCCAAGTCATCATGCTTGTTTAAAAATTTACAGTTTCTGCTTTGCTCATTTCCTTTAAATATATCAAAGAAAACTTGGGTGAAGGCATGTTAATAGAACACACACATACACACACACACACACACACACACACACACCCCTTGTCTTATCCGTGTAATATAACAGATTTCACATTCATCTACACTACAATAAATGTTTTCATACTATGATTTTTGTTTTAAGGATAGGTCATTTGCTGCTTGGTATATCTGTGTTGCCAGCTTTCTGAACTGAACTTGAAAAATCACATATTGAGACTCCAACATGACAATGATAACCATTTCTGCATTATTTGGTTGCACATTCTTGAAATAACCCCTGTTCACCTCATCGCCATGCCTGAAATTCCTGCAGGGTTAGCATTTTGTATTAAAGTATTTCATATCCTGAATGACCATGTTCATTCATTTAATATTTTCCTCTTCATGTAATACATGTAACAACAGGATTTTAATTTAGAAGTTTTGGCTTAGATGCTAGGAAACGATAGATAACAGACACCAGAGTTGCAGGAGTCAGACCACAAGTGTATTTTATGGAAGGAAATACCTCAGAGCCAGTTCCATACCTTTCGAATTCTCCAACAATGTAAGGGTGTCACTGGAGGGGTGCCTGGGTGGCTCAGCTGACTGAGTGTTCAACTCTTGGTTTTGGCATAGGTCATGATCCCAGGGTTGTGAGATAGAGTCCTGCGCTGGGCTCCAAGCGATTCTCTCTCTCTTTCTCTCTGCCCCTTTCCCCCATTCGCACATGTGCTCTCTCTCTGTCTCTCAATAAACAAACAAACAAACAAACAGATAAGTAAATATGTCCCTGGAGCAGAGAGTATTTGGAAAGAGGTGATTTTGTGAGAGACATTTGTAAAGAGAAAATTGGGGTGCAGGTTAAGGCATGCTGCTCACCTACCTCAAGGCTGACCGGGTTGGAGGGGGTTCAGTAGGGCTCCCCTGAGAGCTGGAATGTGACCCTTGCAGTTAGGAAGACCTGGCTCAGGATTGAGCCCCCTCAGGAAATCCGGAGGGAGGGAGGCAGCGCTGATTAACAGCCAGGCAAGTTGCTGCTGGGTTGGGATCTGCCTGTACTACCTACCCCCACTGCCAGGTTAGGAACTGGACAGGGGAATGGGATGCTCATAACTGGTGTAGACGAAGCATGTGGGGCTGACCAACAGGGGTTTCATTTAGAAAAGGCAGGGTTGGGAGATGCATGGTGAACGGCTGCTTGAAAGCCTCCTTTCACGAGACCTCTCCTGCCATTCTTCTCCCGAGAGATCGCCATTGTTGCAAATTTGCTGTAGAAACTTTCAGATCTATAACATACACTAGGCACACATGGACTTAAAAATCTGTAAATACCATGTATTTTGATCTGTGCTTGTTTTTCTCGCTTCATATTATGGACCCTTCTCCATGTTACTTCACACAGTTCTACCTCATTCTTACAGAAAAATTAGCATGGATGTGAAGATGCAGCCAGTTACTTTTTCACGTCTCACAGCCATTGTCACGTTTAAATGACACGTAAAATGTACTAACAGGATCTCAGTGTTACGTACCGAAACCATAACCCTTAATTTTCCCTCAGGTCTGCTTTCCTTTTCCACTCTCTTCTCAGCACATGGTGCCAGTGAGATCTCAGAAGCCCCTTGGATACCTCTTGTCACTGACTTTATTGAGTCCACCCCCAGCATGGTTTCTGAATCCACCCACTTCTCTCCACCCTAATCTAAGCTACCATGTCTGTTACCTGGATCATCGCAATGGCTGCTAACCAGAATTCTGCTTCCATTAATGCCTTTCTTCAAACCCATTATCTCCCCAACAGCCAGAACCATTCTTGAAGAATTCAGTTAAATTAGGTTACTGTCACTGCTTAGGACTTTCCTCATCTTGTTCTTCTCATCCCTTGCTGGTTATGCTTCAGCCTCACAGACTTCCAGTTGACCTCCGTGGATCGTATGGTCTCTGCACGGCTGTGTTGTCTTCCAGAAAGTCCTTCCCTTGGTCTTTGCACAGTTTGTTCTTTCTTGTGCTCTGTTTTGTCGCTCATTTCTTAGATTTAATCGTATTTTTTAGTGGTGGCCTCCCTGGGCTTCCACGTAATTAATTGCCAAGAAGCTATCAAATCATTACTTACAGTTCTCTGAAATTTGTCTTACTATGAGGAGAGGGCAAGATCCAGTTCAAGGTACTGGGTTGGAGTAAGGAGGTTGGGAGTTAAGGATTCGAGGCTGGAGAAGAAGATTCCAAATTATCCTCATGGGCCTGAGAGTTGAAGCCAAAAGAAAGCATCCTTTCCCTGGAGAAAACAATGTGGAAGGAACATAAATTTTGTATTTCACACTTTTACCTAAGACAGGCTTCTAAAACATATACCTTTTATGAAACATTAGAATGTCATGTCTTCCCTTATAATGGTATAGGTTTGTTTTATTCAACCATATGCCACTTTCAGTTTCTCTGTGCACCTTAGGGGCTGGATGCTAGTTATTGAGAAGCTAGGCAGAAAAAGGCCTGGGTTGCAGGGTGGAGTGTGTGGGGGGGTGTCAGCTGTCCTATGGCTGCTCCTACATCACAATTGTGGTGATGCTATCATCTTTGCAATCCAATGGTCTCCTTTGCATGTAATCCTGGCCATTGTCCCGTTTTTTTGCCCCATTGACAGGCTTTCACATTCATTTCACCCAGACTTTGGGACTTTGCTGTAGTTTGAGGTTTAATTTTTCAAAGAAATTAATGAGGCATATATTGTTACATGAATGAGTCCCAGTAGTTAAACCCTCCGATATCTATGAAACTGACCATGGGACTTCCTTTAGCCAAGAGGACATTAGCAAACATGACTCAGGCAGACCCTCTGAAAGCTCTTGTGCCCTGAGGGCTTGCTTTTTGGAATATAGGTGCCATCATGTTGTTTTAAGCCTTCTACTTTTTAGAGTGTTTTATTAATTAAAATTAATTATTTATTAATTAATGTATGCATTAATACATAAGTGATGTAACTAGTGTCCTCTGTAGTCTATTTACGTGCTTTAGAATGCTTTTCGATTTGAACATTCATATTGCAAAATTAAGTGACCTGCTTCTACCCTGGGAGCTTGGTGGCTGTCTATGATCAATGCCTCAGTTTCTTTTTTAAAAAATTTTAAATGTTTATTTATTTATTTTGAGAGAGAGAGAGAGATCACAAGTGGAGCGGGACAGAAAGAGAGGGAGAGAGAGAATCCCAACCAAGCTCTGTACTTTTAGTGGAGAGTCTAATGTGGGGCTTGAACTCATGAAACTGGCAGATCATGACCTGAGCTGAAACCAAGAGTCAGAAGCTCAACTGAATGAGCCCCCCAGGCACCCCAGTGCCTCACTTTCTACACACATTATCCTTCAAATGAAGTGATTTGTTTCAGGGTCTTAAAGAGGCTTACTAAAAAGGGGGGGGTATAGATATAGTAACAATGAATATTATGATCTTGGAAGTTAAATATTGTTACTTAAAATGTATCTGGAAAAGTGAAGTTGAGGCTCTGAGTCAATGAAAATAGGCAAAGTTATGAATAGAAGATAAAGAAAAATATGATATTTCTTTGAGATTGACATCTTTGTTTATACCTTCTAAAATTTAGGAAGTCACAAATAAGCAAGCCAACATTTACTCTGTGCGGGGAAGATGATGGCACATCCACAGGATGTCAACATAAGAGGAAATAACTGTTTTAAAAGAAATTTAATTAGATACAGTCAGTAGTTTTCTTTTAATAAAATGTCTTCAAGAATACATACATACATACAGAAAAGTGTACAACTTGTGTACAGCTTGCTCAATTTTTTATAATGAGTTTTAAAATGTGACCAGTCTCTGAGCCATGTTGTGTCTGTGTAATTATGACTATTTTGTGAGTGACACATAATTCAGTTTAAGCTTCTCAGAACGAGCAGATAATTTATTGTTGTTAGAACCAAACAGGAGAGGAAGGCTTAGGCACGGCTTGATCCGGGGCTCAGATAACGTGATTCAGTTTTAGTTTCTATTTTCAGTTCTCAGGCAGGCTTTCTTCTGTTTGCAAAGAGGCTTTTAGCAGCTCCCGGGGTTCTCTTCTTCTCCAGCCATGTCTAGAAGAAGAAGGCAAACTTCTTGATTTCTTGTGTGGTAAAAGAATCACCCTTATCCCTGGAGCAGTCATAGAGGACCAGGGTTGGGGTATAATGGTTTATGTAAGCCCAGCAGGACCTTCAGACTTGAGCCAGCCTCACCCAGCTGAACAGTCTAGCATTGGGGGAGCAGTGAGTTGCCTTGTGGCAAATCCGGGAGCTAATGGGGGCCTAGGAGAAGAGGGATTGGTTCCGGAGGGACAACCAACAATTATTCACTACAGAGCAAAAAGTGACAGTTTTACAATCACGTCTTATTGTTATTCCTCAAATGAATTATATATTAACCAATAATTGATCAAGTTTATTATATTGAAATATAAAAACTTTCTCCTTGGCTCAATGTGCTTTCTTTCCTAATTCAGGTTAGTAGAAAAAAGCCTTCTGATTACTTGTGACTAAGTCGCTCTAAGCCATGTTCCTCCCACAAGTTAAAACTCTTCCTCGTTTTACAGAAATAAGAGAAATAAGAGTCAAAAGCCATGATCCTGATGTCAAAATGACATCACAGTTTTCAACAGTTTTTCAAACTCCTGTGGAGCCCTTATTGCATGTTTTATTTCCTCCAGAAAGACTATAAGAGAGATCTGGAGACTGAAATAAAAGGGAAGGGCATGCAAGTGGGCACAGACACTCCTGATATCCAGAGAGCGAAGAGAGCATCCGAAATGGCCAGCCAGGTAAGAAACAGATGGGACACAAAGTTACAACAGACACAATGAATTGTGTATAGAAAAAGTATAAATGGCATTTTCACATGTGTGGCTTAGATATTCAAACACGCGAGTATCTGCATTACTATGGAAGGTTAAGCAAAGCTCTTCAGGAAGATTATTTTCTGTTCTTTTAGAAAGAATATAAAAAAGACTTGGAAAATGAAATTAAAGGGAAAGGGATGCAAATGACAATGGACATCCCGGACATGCTTCGAGCCAAGAGGGCGTCAGAGATCTATAGCCAGGTTGGTAGGAATATGTTCTTCTGATATTCAATCACCATGTGCTTTGTGTGTCTCTAAGATTGGTATCTTTTTGAGGGCATTGTATTCAAAGTCAGTGCACTCTATTATAAAGGAGCTATTGGACAAACTTGATTAATCTCACTAACGAAAGGAACAGTTGCTACAAATTCAATTCAATGGATGTGTTTGAGTGTCCGAGCTCCCCTGTTTGAGTCCAACGACATTTTGATCTTTTTTATTTTTTGACTCTACTGTTCACTTGAATCCAGTGCTCACACTACAGAAGAAAGATTACAAATGAGTTTGTCTTTTAACCATTTCATAATGCATATTATCCTTAAAACAATCAGCTCCAACTAAGTGAATAAAACTGTACAAGGTGGAAGGTAAAGTCGAATATTAACTAAAAATTAAGAGAAGAACACTTTTCTTGGTAAAATTTAATTTACCAAGTGTACCTGTCACATGTCCTTTAGACAGACTTTTAGAAAAAAAACTTCTAGAAAAGCCGGTATGAATTTGACCACAAAAGAATATACATAATGGAAGAAAAAGTTCTTGATAAAACCTAATCTGGGCAAAAAAAATTCCTTAGTGAATATTGTCTTTGCTATAAAATGCACAAGGAAAAGAATGAATCCCAGTAGAAAAAAAAATAATAAAGGGGAGTGAAAAATTAAAATGGTTATAGAAAACTGGCCACGGAATTACATTTGATTAATGGGATTTATGATGAAGATAATTTTCAACAAAATCTGACCAAATTTGCTAAAATTCCAGTTAAAACATAAGCAGCAAGTCCAAACACCTGCTGGTTCAAAAGGGTGTACCCAGATGACAGATGTCAGAGGAGTTGTGTGCTTTTCAGCCTCCTCAGATGATACAGCCACTGCATGGTCCTCAAGTGCATGTTCATCTGTCCTCAGTGTCTCAGGCTGGCACATGAACTTGTAGACATTGGCTTTAACTGTATCAGCTGACTAAACTTATCAATAAATACATAAAATAGGTAAATGGCCATTTGAATCAGTGGAGAAAATTCACTGTCTCAAGAATGCCAAATCTCATTCATTCATTCAGCAAATACTTTCTGAGCATCCATTTACATGCAAAACTAGACCTGGTTTTGCCCTTGGGTAGCTACAGAAGAATCTAATCATCAATAATCATGCAAATATAGCATTACAATGATGTATACATGATGTATGCCTCCAGGAAGTAAGGCATCAGGCATAAAGGCTTTCTATAGGAAGTGACGCCTGAGCTGTCGGAATTCCTGCTTTAACTTGACAGTGTTGCGTGTGTGTGTGTGTGTGTGTGTGTGTGTGTGTGTGTGTGATAAAATGATACATCTAACTTCAAGGAGTTTTAATTATTTAGGATACAGTGAAATACTTACAAGGATGTAACGATGCCGTGCTGAGTCTCAATAAATAATGACCTTTCTTAACAAGCAGCAGTATGCCATCATAGTTAACTTTGCTGACTCTGGACCCAAAGTGCCTGGGTTTAAATCCTCGCTCTGACACTTCTTAGCTAGGGTCTCAGTTTCCGCATCTGTAAGAGGAGATAGTGGCAGTGTCTGCTTGTGGGGTTGATTCGATGTGTTAATGCGTGTCTCGAACCAACTTAGGATGTAAAAATGCTGGTACTCCTAGAAGGTATTGTAACTCACAGTAATAGGTTTACTAGACAGAAACATGGAGATTTTTATCTCAACTACAGAAATACTGGTACCTTTCCCTTATACAAATGTATCTTTCTCTGAAGCAGGAAGCAAAGCCTAAATCCGGAAGTGTGAAAAACAGTGGGTGGAGAGCCAGGTTATTTGCGGGCGCTCTAGGGCTCCTTTGAAAAGGGACAGGGGCTACTTGTGAAAGAGTAGTTTCTTCTGTGTTCTGGTCACCAATTCCAACGCATGTGTGTGGAGGCTTCCCCATACCAACAGGCAGCTCCCAGATACCAGCCAGGTATTGGAGAACTCACCTCATTTCTGGCACCATCTACTGGAAGACAGCACCAAGTTCCACAGGTTGAAGGTTCAGTCCTACGGGACTGTCTCCGTCCCCTCTTCAGATACCAGTTGCTAGCTATCTGTCACCTGTGCTTTTGGCCAACGGACTACAGATCAGAGGTTCTTAGGATCCCCTCCTTGGGTCTGATTCATTTGCTAGAGGAGCTCACAGAACTTAGAAACATTTTACTCGCTAGATCAGTAGTCGTTATAAAAAAGATATGACTCAGAACAGCCAGATGGAAGAGATGCATAGGGCAGGGCATGGGGAAAGGTCGCGGAACTTCCAGGCCAACTCCCAGTTCATTTGCTATTTTCCCTAAATCTCCATCCGTTCATCAACCAGGAATCTCTCCAAACCCTCTCCTTCAGGTTTTTATGGAGGCTCCATTACATAGACATGACTGATGAACTTATAGGCAATTGTTGATGATTCAGCCTCCAGCGTCTCTCCCCCAGAGGTTGGGGGTTGGGACTTTCAGTCCCAACCCTCTAATCACAAGTTTGGTTTCCTTGGCAACCAATCCCATGCTTAAGTGTGTCCAAATATCATTGGCATAACCAAATATATCTGTGTCACTCTCATCACAAGAAATTCTGAGAGTTTTAGGAGTTCTGTGCCAGAAATAGGGACAAAGACTATATATATCATTATAAATCACAATATCACAAGGTTCTCAACTTAGGAGTGACATAGAGGCCAAGTCCTCCAGTGGCCTTTGAAGGGATTGGGGGGTGGGGGGGACTATTGCCTGAGAAGAGATGAGGCTGATTCTTTAGACTTTTTGCTTGCTCTGTCTGCTTACTCCCTTGATATTTGCTGTCACATCAACAATTGCTTTGAATTATCAGATATGGAAAAGGCATCGTTTTCTTTCTATCTCTCATACATGCGCGCGTGCATACACACACACACACACACACACACAGTTTCAGATTCATATTAACTATTTCTATTTTTAGAAAAAGTATAAAGACGAAGCAGAGAAGATGCTTTCTAACTATTCTTCAGTGGCAGATAATCCCGAAATGCAGAGAGTCAAGATAACTCAACAGAACATTAGTGAGGTAAGTAGTAATTCCTTCTTTGACAGTTGCTACCTTGAAATTTCATTTCCCTTAGGAGAGCCTCTGTTCCTTATTGTCTGATTGTTGGTGGCATTGTTTGAATTTTCTGTCAAACATATTATCTTTGCTTCTCTAACATAATAAGAGTACTTTTAAAGAACCAAAATTCAATCAAGTAAATTTAAAGATCTAATTGGTTTTCTTCAATGATTCATGAATCAGGCAGCATCCCATCTAAGAAATAAATAGAGGATGATCAGTAGAGAGGTACAAAATGTAAGGCTTTAATGGGCAGACGCTTCAGGACAAGGAAGTTATTAGCAAGAGAAAAGACAGGATTGCTTCAGACAAGGTCACCTTCCTTTAGGGAAAAAGGTGGGGGTCTATCATGCAGATTACCTCTCTAGTGCTGATCAGGAAATTCCAGACTGATTGGTTTAAAAGTCTACTCTGGGGAGAGGCTGAAACTACAATTAGGTTAGGTATTAAGTCTTGATGGGGTTTAACGTAAGTGACTCCATTTTGGGCCTCTTGTTCTTTAATAGTACCAAATGTTCTTACAAGGTATAATTTATCATGATTGTTTTGGAATTACAAATTCAAATTTTCTTCTTTGGTACAAGCAAGAGTTCTTTTTAACTGAAATTTAAAATTTTACTTAGGAAAGAGGTCTTAATTCCTACGCAGATTTTACTTCAGAGAAGAATAATAATATACAAAGTGATTTATGCCGGTCACTGATTTGCAATGATAATGTATTTAGGGATTTACTAGTTTGTAACCAATTCTTAAACTTTCGTATGTTTTATTTTGAGGGATAGGAATGAAAGGACCAGGTCTATGTTTAATGGGTATATAAATTTGGATTCCAAAATTATAAAACTTGACAAAACAGCCAATATTGTTATGTAGAACCAGCTCATTAGTCCTTTAGGAGTTAAGCAAATGTCTCATCAGACTATACATTCTATTAAGTCTGAGGACTTTGGGAATCTTTTCTACTTTGAAATAAATTGGTAAGCTCCAAACCTCAAGGTGTGCTAGTCAGATGCCCCTGGGGCTTTCAAAACCGGTGTGCTAAGAAAATGGAAAAGTCTGGCTGGAAGGGAAGATCAGGGAAAAAAGCCGTTTCCACCCTTATCTCCTGTGATTTCATGGTATTCTAGATTTTTATCTTGTGGAGGAAAACATCTCTGGGGCCATACTCTCCTCTCACCACCAGGGCCCCCTGGATTACCTAGTCTCAACAGAGAGAGTGGTTCTGTCCTCATATGCCTCTCTTAATGATTATTCCACTATTCCGTAAAGCATTTTGCTTTTATGTTTTGCTTTGCCTTTAAAAAAATTATATATTTTATACATATAAAAATATCTATCTATCTATCTATCTATCTATCTATCTATCTATCTATGTATAGATAGGGGGAGAGGCAGAGAAAGAGAGGGAGACACAGAATCTGCGGCAGGTTCCAGGCTCTGAGCTGTCAGCACAGAGCCTGACATGGGGCCATAACTCACAAACCACAAGATCATGACCTGAGCTGAAGCTGCATGCTTAACCGACTAAGGCATGCAGGCGCCCCAGTTTGCTTTGTCTCTGAAAGGAATGGATGTTGGTAGGAGTGGAGAGACATGTGGGAAGGTTAATGAATAAGTGGAAGATCAGGGAAGTAGGCTGAATAAACTTTGATGTTGGTGATCTAGCGGACATTTTCTTTGAAGAGAATGAGGGCATCTTTGTGCTTGGAGAATAGCACTTAAATTTCATACTGGTTTTGAATTAAATGATACTGCTTAGTAAGCTTTTATAATATGCGCTTTGAGTTTTCTCACACACACGTGACATATATTCGTATTTGAAGAAGGGAACTCTAGTTTGCCAAGTTATATCCTTAGACCAAATAGTCTGCACCACCTAGGGTACCGTGCATGCCTTAGAACAAAGATTAGAGGGTTACTCGTGGAATACTATGCAATATGAAACCAAAATTGGACATTTATTGTCATAATGGATTATTTGATTGATATAACCTTGGTGCTTGTAAATAGAGGCTGTATTCACATTACTTGAGAACTCGAGACATCGTCTTTCTTTTATAAGAATCTAATCTAGGACTTGAATTCTAATAGGCTGATAGTTATTCCTTCCTTCTCTTATAATTAAGGTATTTTATAAGAAAGAAGTAGGAGCTGGCACAGCAGTAAAAGATACTCCAGAGACTGAACGAGAGAAGAAAAATCAGCAGAATATTAGTTCAGTAAGTTCTCTGTAGCATTAATTATCCTTTCCAAAAGCAAACATAAGCTAGATAAATGTTTTTAGTTCTTTGCTAAACTGGCTGCTTTTCCTTTTATTCGTCACTTTGTTAAAATGCTGTTTCATCAAATATCAAAGGTCTCACTTTCAGAAGGAAAACTGTAGCCTTGTTCCCCTTGAACCTAAAGCAGTGTTTCATCTTGATACATCATAGTGCACAAGAGATAGATCACTTTAATAGTCCAGTAATGAAATCGGGGATTAGATTTCATCTTTTGAACAGAATTTTAACTGTATTAAATTTTTCAGAGAAAAGAGAAATTTCAGGGCCTCTCCGCAACTTGGAGGAAAGAAATTTTACCCTGTAGGATGATTAAAGACCCTTAATACATTTATTTGGTGGCTTAAGAGAAGATTTCAAAGGCCCCGTTTGCCTTTTACTTTTTCCAACTTCCAGCAAAGCAAAAACATGCACCTTCACTATAATTCGTAAAATAACCTGCCCTCCAATTCCCTGTGAGCCTGGGGGGAAGGGTAGAGGAGGTAAGGAGCAATGCGGTGGTTAAAAAACTCCATTCAGTGCTTGACATTTGCAGTGAAGAATTGCATCTTTCCAATAGCAGTTCTTCCATGGATATTTCGTATTAGTTTCTTGTTGAGGAAGTCATAAGGTTCTTTCCTAAATTCTCCTTGTCTTGTCTTGTCTTATCTTGTCTTCACTTTTTTTCAGAGAAAGAGAGAGAGAGTGTGTGCACTTTGAGAGCGTCTCAGAGTCAAATGCTCAGGATGCCTGTGTGGCTCAGTCCTTTGGATGTTTGACTCTTGATTTCGGCTCAAGTCATGATCCCAGGGTCTTGGGATCAAGCCCTGCATTGGGCTTCATGCTGGGCGTGGATACTGCTTGAGATTCTCTCTCTCTCTCTCTCTCTCTCTCTCTCTCTCTCTCAATAAATAAATAAATAAATAAATAGTCACATGGTCAACCCACTGAGCCACCCAGGCACCCCTGAAATCCCTTTCTTGACCTTTCTCTTTACCTTCACCTTAGGCGCAGAGCCTTTCTTTAAGTAATTCAGGTAGAACTGGTCTGGTTAGATTTGCTTATCAGTCAGGATAGTATGTGGCGTTCTAGAATGTGAGTGTGCACTGGCTTTTGTAGAGAAAAAATAGAAAAGGTAAGGTAATGCTGTAGTAACTCATACTTCCAAAAAAAAAAAAATCTGCAGAATACTAGTGCAGTGAAATTTCCGTAGCCTGAATGAATGAAGCTCTCCCCTGAAGGAGGCATACAGAGAAGACCTTACAAGGAGGGTGATCTGATCCACCACAGTGAAAGCCCATGTCCGGCAACACGGGGGTCCAGTTGGAGAAGTTAGTTTGGCAGAGAAAGAGAAATGTTTTTTTCCTTCACTTTCAAATGATAATATTTGAAATGCACGCATCAGCGTATGCAGATACAGTGTTATAAATGTTTTGTGGTACGCGATTCTGTTGCCTACAGTAAAATGACTGCCTTTCTGATTAGTTTAGAGTCCTATGAAAAACAAAAATGTTCATCTTTAATCATGTTTAGCTTCTCACCCGAGGAAAATCACACGGAGTAGTACGGTTTATCATTTCTTTTTCCGCATTCCACTGGCTCTTGCAGCAAGCAATAAATGCATAGTTCTGTGTGTCTATAAGGCTGGGCCATAAACTCCTGCTTAGTATTCAAATGGAAAGTTGCCCTTTCAAGATTAGCTAGATCTGTCAAACCAAGATATGATTCTCTAACATTTAAAGATCTCGACATTTTCCACCTCCACCGTACAAGCCTTTTAGCTATTAGCTTTCTCTGTTAAAGATTGTTTTTGAATCGTATTTAGAGGTAGTCTTTCTCGGTGTATTCTCAATTTAACCGTTTCGAATCTGAACTAACATTGTCATTGTAACTCGTGTTACATCTATGGCTCCTAGGATGTCGATGATAGCAAAGATATTTAGGTTACCATTTCTTTGCGACTGTCAGTGTGGATTTCAGCCTTCATCATTTACACATTACCAAGTGATTTCCAAAACCCGTTTTGTGTAGATTTAAGTCTTTGCTAAATTTCAGCATGTGCCTCTTAAGTCTAGCCTGCGTTTGCATACAAATAAATATTAATGTGTGTCCTTTTTCTCGAATCTAATCTTCCATGAATTTTAGATATATTAAAATACCACCCGACAGGACAGCGCTACTAATCATTTCATGAGTTTAAAGAGCTGTTTCTTCTGCTGTGCATCACCATGTTATGGAATTACCATCTTTGTCTGGTTGATCTTCCTCTAAACAGATTTGAAGAAAGAGCTTCCAAATAGAGTGGGTGCTAGGATACAGGCTGGCTTTGGATAACATGATTATGTGGCTGGAAGATACTTCCTGACCTTCTACCACCGGCCCTTCTATAGTAAACAGAGGTCAGAGGTCCTGGCCTCGGCTTTTAGTACATTTCCCTCCACCTTCCTCTTTCTCTTCTTTTATTGTGGCCACTTCATTTTTTCCCTTATTCTGGATTATTTGTGTGCTCTCTCACAGATAAAAAGTCTTCCTGAAGATTCTGTAGCTAACTCAGTTTGACTTTGGCCTTTAAATGCATGATAAATTGTAATTCACATGTTAATGAATAGAAACTGTTTTTCAGATAGAAAAATGATGAGTTATTATATTACCTGAGGTAATTCCCAAGGGGTGTGTGTGTATGTGTATCTGCCTAATGATGAACTGTATTCTCATAAGCAACGTTTGCTTATTTTAATTAAATAATTCCTGTAGTGGTGGCTAAGTGAATAAATAAGAGTTTATTTGCACTTTAGGATAAAGGAATCCTAAAACCATTATCAGCTAAAATAAAGATTTTTTTGTCCCACTGAAGGAAAATCAATGTTGGTGGTAAAAAAATTCGACTATGTAATAGTTACAAATATAGAAGCCTTGTGTTGAATAACCTGTGCATTGTTCTTTCAATACATTATTCAGGTGAAGTACAAAGAAGAGATGAAGCAGGCCACAGCCATTCCCGATCCCCCAGAGCTAAAGAGAGCCAAAGAAAACCAGATGAACATCAGCAATGTGTGATCATGTTTCTTTAAGTACTGATTTCTAGTTTATTGGATGGTAGTAGACGATGGGGGGGGGGGGGGGCGCGGCACTTATACAGGTGAAGTCTCATGATTCCATTGCTGGAGGGCCGTTCCTGGAAGGTGGAAATAGGATTTCTCCCATCTTTCTGTTGGGCTAGCATGACACCTCGTGTGTGCATTTATTTATCAAAGAGCATGTTATTGAATGCCTGCTCTGTTCTTGTTCTTGGAAATTCATAGATGAGTGAGAATTCTCAAGATCTCTAGGAGAAACAGAGGAATAAATAAATACCCACGATGCATTAAGTGCTGTAATAATAATTAATAGTAACTGTTTACTATGCTTTTGGAGTGCTTTACACACAGCGTGTCATTTAATGAGAAGTAAATATGCCCTTTGCAAAGTGTTGTGGAAATGCAGAGAAGGAAAGTTATGTCCTTGAGAGAGAGGAAAACCCTCGGAGAAAGAGTAACATTTGAGTTGGATTTTGAAGATTAATAAAAGTTGGGGGATGGATTTTGTGAGAAGTGCCTTCCTGGTGGAGTAAACAGTCTGTTTAGAGTCCAAATCCTGTTCAAGGAGGGGAAGGTTTCGTGTGATGGGTACGTGCAATGAAAGACGGCAGAAGAAGGTGCAGAGAGAAATTGTAATTCGGGCCCTAAGGAGTCAAGTCAGAAGTCCCAATGTTTCCCAAAGTGTGGGTCATATAAAAACGATAGGTGCTCAGCCCATGATCAGGCCATGATTTAGGCTTATATGGTTTTAACATATCTCTTTTTCTAAAGGAAAGGTTACTAGTTATCAATTTATCAGAGAACCATAACACCCCTGTAAAATAACTTTACTGGAAAATAATCGTGACCTAATTTAATGAAAGATAAATATTGCAAATCATAGCGGAGGGGATAGCTGGCCCAACATACAGCAAGTGGTGGGCCCATGGTAGAAATTTGGACAATACGGAATGGGGAAGAATGTGGACCCTGGCCTGCTAGCTTGATCCCAGTTCCAGCCTTGCTCGCTGTATAACCTTTATAAGCCACCAACCTCTCCCAGCCTCAGTTTCCTTTTCTGTGAAACAGGGACCAGACCATTAAGTGAGGTATTATTACCAGGAAAGCACGTAGCATATTTGTGAATGGATGAAAACAAGACGCAAACAGTCGCCATTATCAGTTTTATGTCCCCGAACTTGCATCCACCAGAAATTGATTACAATAAGCTCTCCACATCAATAATGCTGTTTAGGTGACTTTTCCCTCTGAGCTCTACTAGGAGTAATCTTCCCTTATATCCTGCCGTCCGTAGAGATCACACTGGATCTTTTCTCACTTTAATGCAGACAATTAATTATCCTAGACACAGAATCTGCCTAAACTCTCAAGTACATATCACCGCACAAAGAAAGCCGCCCACTGAGGAAAGCCGACGCACGGAAGGGGCCTGACCCGTTGTCATTTATTTTCCAGGCTTGTCAAGCTTCTCCTCATTGGCACACTCACTGTTTAGGGTGTGCATCTCAAGGCCATTTTATCTGCAGGCCCTGAAGGTCTTGTGATGTCTTACAAAAAAAAAAAAAACAAACCAAAAACCAAACCCTAAAAATTCCCTTACACTAAATTTAAACTCCGGAAAGTCATTAAGACCGTCCGTGGAGTTCCTTATAATAGGATTTTAACTTCCAGTTTTACTCTTGCCTGTCAAAAATTCATTTGACGGATCTGCCGTTCTGTTTCTTTGTGCTGGAGGCTCATTTATTTCCCGGGATGTTCCGGGATTGCCAGAAAACTGATCACAAATGTTGGGGTCTGATCTTCCCAGCTAAGAAAGAGCACCTCACCGCGGTAGCTCAGGAAAATTTCCATAACGCGAGTCAGGGCGCAGGCCTTCCAATGTGGGAACTTTGTAGATAAGGAAACTTTGGGGTTTTCGGGGTGCGTTTCTGTAGTGACAGCCTGTCACTGGGGGGCAGGCATGGTGCCACCCTCCTTGCTAATGAGAGGAATGTAGGATTTATATTTTTAATTTCAAAATGGTGATTTGATACAGTTGCCCTGGTGCTCTGAAGAAATAACTCAGGGAAGGGCTAGTTTATTATTCCTGATAATGATCATACTCAAGAGAGGCCACCGATAAATAAGACAATGCAGAGAATAAGAGCCAAAGGTGGAGTTCAAAACAGTTGGATAAGAACAAGCTTGCAGCCTGGGATCACTGTGATGGTGAAGTCTGTTAGCAATATGCCTTCCATTACGAACTCCTCAGGACATTTCTTTTAATCTGTTGCCGAGCGTGGGTACACATTTCCTTCACATAACCCCACGCTGTCTTGCACCTTGTCTCTCAGCTCTGGTACAAAGAGCAGTGCCACAAAGCCACGCCCATGAGCATCACGCCAGAGATGGAGAGGGTGAGGAGAAACCAGGAGCAGCTGAGTACGGTAAGTGTTTTCTCCCTTACTTTCAAACGTCACACACTCTTACTCGCCACAGTGCTCTCTGCAAAGCTTGAGCCCTCCACATGGCTGATGCTCTTTGCCACACTCACATGCTCAAGGGCAGAACTCTGGCTCTCTCGTGTGATCCTGGAAGTTAGAATAGAGCAGAAGAAGACCTGGCCTGACTGGGGTTCTAAGACATAACGTCAAGGCAGGGGACGTTTTTAAATAAAATGAAAAAGACTAATCAATCATCAGTAATCTATTGCTAATAAAGGAATGAGAGTTAACAGTCGTGAGATACTTCTAATATGGCGTCTGTGCTAAATGCTTTATGTGAACCCATGAGGTCGGCACAAGGTATTTCTCAGGTTTGTATGTGTGGGAAGATGAGTCTTGGAGAGGGCAGAGGACATGCCAGGGACCCACAGATTGAAGGGCAGAGCTGGGATTTGACCCCAGGCCTCCCTGGATGCCCCTGGGGACCCCAGAGGCCCCCTACTAGTTATTTTTCCCATTTTTGACCCTTTTATGGAACTTTTACCAATATAAATGATAGCCTTCTTCCCAAACAGGTACTTTTGAAAGGTTTTACAATTTCAGTGTGAATTCTTCCAGGTGGAGGAGAAAATCAGACTGAATACCACTTGATCTTTATAATATCCCTAGAAGTTGGTAGGAGGGAGAGATCTTTTTTTAAAAAATTTTTAATGTTTATTTTATTTTTGAGAGAGAGAGAGAGAGAGAGAGATGGAGTATGAGTGGAGAAGCAGCAGAGAGAGAGGGAGACACAGAATCCAAAGCAGGCTCCAGGTTCTGAGCTGTCAGCATGGAGCCTGACGTGGGGCTCGAACTCACAAAGCATGAGATCATGACCTGAGTGGAAGTCGGATGCGTAACTCATTGAGCCACTCAGGTACCCCAGGAAGGAGAGATCCTTAGCTTCTTTTGAAGGCGGAAGCCCCTGGTCAGAATGAGAGCATTAAATGGTCTCCCCAGGCTGGGCCAGCAACTTCACTATGGTTTTCTTGCAATGACTTCATTCCCGTGTTTCTCCGTTATATTTCTATTGCTTTTAGTTGTGGGATTTGCAGTTAGCTTTGTCATTGGACAGCAAAGTATTTATTGAAACCTCATTTTATTTATTTAAAAAATATTTATTTGGGGGAGAGTGCAAGCAGGGAAGAGGCAGAGAGGGGGGACAGAGGATCCTAAGTGGGCTCTGCACTAGCAGGCGGACAGTAGCGAGCCCGATGTGAGGCTCGAACTCATGAATCATGAGATCATGACCTGAGTGGAAGTCGGATGCTCACCCAACTGAGCCACCCAGGTGCCCCTTGAAACATCATTTTTGAGAAGCACAACTGACATTTTGTTCTTGCTGCACCAGAAGAATCAGGATCCCGGTGTGGATATGAACTGATGGGTTAATGCATGTCTACTGTTGGAACAAATGTAAAAAGATACGGTTAATTTTGAGGCTCAGCCTCTCTGGTGTGTGTGTGTGTGTGTATGTGTGTGTGTGTTGACCATTCTGCTATCTACTAAAATTCTCATTTATCCTCCTCAGGTAAAATACAAAGGAGAGGTTAAACAGGCAACTTCAATTTCTGATCCACCGGAGCTGAAGAGAGCGAAAGAAAACCAGAAGAACATCAGCAATGTGTGACCTTAGTAACTTTTTCCTTATGACAGCAAACGTATTCTCAACATATCAGTGAAGGGATTGCGTTATGAAGTTCTTGCATGGATATTCTGCTCTCAGTTGGCTGCCAGTCTACTTGAAATGTTGCAGAGTGTTAGGTGATGTGGGTACAGCCAGGCATTCTGTGCTCCAGAGTTCCCGGTGACCATCACTTATGACTTTTGTCGTCGTGGGTCCCTCTTGTCTACACGCCTGTAGTTCCCCAAAGGGACACAGTGGTGGCTTCTAGCATCTTGGCCCTTCAAATAAGCTTTCCCACTGCCTTTCCTACCTGTATGTGTTCTTGTTTGTTAGCCTGTCCAGCCCCATTGCCTACTCCCAGCTATTGTCACTTTATTTTTGGATGATGTCTTGGGAGGGAAATTATAAAGCGTGCAAACCTGCATAGGTTACATGGGACAGGCCCATTCTCAGGGCACTTGTAAAGGGGATGTTAGTTTTTACTCAGGCACCAACTCCTGGCCTGTTCTTAACCCCTTCTGTTTTTGTAATCCATGGGTGTAGTTCATGGAGAGAATCCTTTTTTGAAGTCATTAACATATAGATTGGGTTCCCTTGGGGCGCCTGGGTAGCTCAGTTGGTTAAGCATCCGACTTCAGCTCGGATCATTATCTCGTGGTTTATAACTTTGAGCCCCGTGTCAGGCTCTGTGCTGACAGCTCAGAGTCCCAGGAGCCTGCTTCGGATTCTGTGTCTCCCTCTCTCTCTGCCCCTCCCCTACTCGCACTCTGTCTGTCTCTCTCTCTCAAAAAAAATAAAAAATAAAAATAAATAAATAAATTTAGATTGGGTTCTCTGGAAGAGGAAATCTGGAAATCTATTAGGTTCAAAGAAGTATTTTCTTCCTCAAACCTTTAAAGTCTTTGGAGCAGATCATAAAGCAGATGCAGGCCATTGTTTGGAGCTTTTCCTAATGACTGTATTTTGGAGAAGTAGGTGCCCATCTTTTCCCGATATATTTAGAGGCAAGGTTGGTAGAACTCCATTACTCTCAAAGAGGTATATGGTTATTGAGAGGGAAGAATGGAGTCATGGGAGGCACAGCGACCAGTTTATGGATGACCATGGTCACCTATTTAGGCATCTTTTCGAAAGTCCTGCTGCAGTTAATTACTAACAAACTCCAACAGTATATGGGTACAAGTACCTTTAAGTAATATCCACAAAGACATTCCTTCTCATATTCCTCTGTGATCCAGTGCTTGTGACAGCTTTCCTGATGGTGTGCCCATAGATTTGAGTGTATTTTCAGTGACATCATTCCCAGTGATAGACCCAGTGGGATGAATTGAAATTGATTTCAGATGGCCAGCCCTCTGATACCATACTGTCCCCTTTTCTCGGCCAGCTCTTTAAAATAGCTACTGTGAGACTCTTATCTGGGTGAATTGATTCACCATGCTCTTTATTTTTTATTCCCCACAATGATAGGTTTCTTATAAAGGTCAGCTGGGAAGAGCCACAGCTTTAAGTGTAACTCCTGAAATGGAAAGAGTGAAGAAGAATCAAGAAAATATCAGTTCGGCAAGTTGCTTTCTTCATTTTGGTCTGTTACAAAGGATACGTCCTTTGTGTTATTTACTCACTGTCCCTTTGTTGCTGTTGTCATTGTTTTTTTTAATGAAAATAAGACGTACTCTCGAGAAACATTTGTGATACATGCAGTAAGTCCACGTGTGATTTCAGATGATTTCCAAAAGCTGCCTTGGCACAACTTGACGTCATCATGCAACCCCTTCATCGATATTTCCAGATGTGACCAATGGTTACATTCAAAGTTTAGTTTTAAACTATATTATGTTCATTTAAACAATGACTCATGTTATTTTAGCCGGTGTCTTTGAAAGTGGTGAACTCTTTGATGCGTAAGTTAAATAATTGTCATTTTGCAGATGTATCCCATTGAATGTGGATTGTTAGATGTTCTCTGCAAAACAAAATCAGAAATGACTCATTACTCCAGAGTAAGGACTTAGAGGGGAAAAAATCTTTAAATGCATTGAATATAGAATTCAGCTATTCATTAAAGGCCCATGGGGCGCATCAGTGTCTTATTTGGATAGTATGTTTTCTTTTAGTAAGTATCAGGGCTTCAGTTCTGAATTGGACATATGTCCTCAGGACCCCAATCATTTCTGTCCTTATGTTGTGCATAACCAGCTTCATAGATAGCAGTGCTCCGCTGGTCAGCTGTCAAGGAGCCTCATACCTGGGAATCAGCATTTAGGTTTTATGGTTTACAGTTCTCCAGTGGCACTTCTGTCCAGAGATGCTGACTGTATTTGATGTAAATTACCTTTAAGCTGTGGCTGCTTAGAAGGAAATTAGATCTGATACTCATTGTTTCTTATCCTCCACGGTGGGAAAAAGATAAAAGGAAACAGAGGGATGCTTGGGCGTGGTATATATTCTTCAGCAGCGTTATGGTGGAAAATGGAGAAATATTAGAAACAGGAAAATAAGTTTAGGTTTCATTTAGTTTGGATTCTTCCTGTTTAAGTATGATGACCACTTTTCCTTACTACACTGTTGGTGGATATTGGTCATTCACACATTTGTTTTCGGTTAATAGGTTTAGGTTATTTTTGCTTTAGCTTTTAAAAGTGAGCTTTGAGAGCCAAATATTAGATCGTTACCCTAAAATGACATGTGATTCACTGAACACCTTCCCTGGGGAATCATTTTGAAGACGTTGTGTATGTGTCACTCATATGGAAAGTTTGGAAAAGTTACGTGATGTTTTTTCTTATAATTTTCTTACTGTTTAAATGCGTTCTACTGTTTCCTTCTCAGGTAAAATATACCCAGGACCATAAACAGATGAAAGGTAGACCAAGTCTGATTTTAGATACGCCTGGTCTGAGATATGTCAGAGAAGCACAAAATCATATTTCAATGGTAGGGTACAATCAGCTCCTTCTTCTCATGACTAAAACATACTAAGGAACGGCACCACCCGGTGTGTGGACGGCATTGTCACCATTAATCTGGATAACTAACAAGCATGAATGTGAAGCAAAATGCAGAAGGGCCCATCCTTTTCGGGGGTGGGGGGTGTGGACTTTCTAATCACACTGAAATGTAATGGATTTCTTTAGTCTAATAAAGTAATTTTTCTCAGTGATATTTGGGGTGTGTTTTTATTTCTAACATGACTACTAGAAATGCATTTTGTGAAAGACATTTGCTTGGATTCCTTTTCAATTAATTTTAAGACAGAATTTGGTATGTTTACGTGGTGCAAGGAATGTAGAAGTTATGTATGTTTTTTGTAAAGCAGTTGCATGAGATATAATTTATAGGCCATAACGTTTCTTCATTTAAAGTGTGCAATTCAATGGTATATAGTAAGATTTACAGAGTTGAATAACTATCACCCTAATCCAATATCAGAACATGAAAAAAAAACGGATGTTTTGAAGTATATATATATATATATATATACACACACACACATATTTGTAATTATATATATATACATACTTGTAATTATATATATATATATATACACATAGTTGTAGGTATATACAAAAGATCATATAAATAATTGTGTGGAAATAGCATATCATTTTTAAACCCTATTAAAGGTTAAAAGACAACAAATGAATTTGTACCTAAGTTAGTACATTTTAGGAAATCACCAGGGTTAAAAAAAAATCTTATCTTTTAAACCTTCTCACAGATATACCGGTTAATGTATAATTTAGAAGAGCTTCTAACCATAACGAGGAAAACCATTGTGAAATATCAGCACTTGATTCCTGATGCTAGGAAGCTGATATTTGGACACTATTTTTGGAGTAATTGGAAAAGACACATATATGTGGAAAATAGTCTAGATGTAATTGATTCTGTAACAGTTGCCATTATATCAAAATTGTGCGAGCTACGTAACCATCGGAAAATTTCATTTGGAGTTAATGTTGTTTTTCCCTTTTTTTCAGGTAAAATATCATGAAGATTTTGAAAAGACAAAGGGCAGAGGCTTCACCCCTGTTGTGGATGACCCCGTGACAGAGCGAGTGAGGAAGAACACGCAGGTTGTCAGCGACGCGGCCTACAAGGGTATCCATCCTCACATCGTGGAGATGGACAGGAGACCTGGAATCATTGTGGGTAAGCCGATGGTCCTTCTCGGTGGGTGTGCACAGTCAAAAAGATCGTCCTTGCCCTTGCTTTAGAATCAACCTCCTTATTCATTAGACTCGTCCTCAAATGTTGGATGTGGTACCCAATTGAAAACGAATTATGGACTAAGTGTTGACTGTTGGCACCATGTTGAATGGGATTCATGGTACTTGCCAGGTATCATTGCAAATGTTTTGTATTTTTGGACCTTCTCTGTCTTTAGTGACTTTCTGGTCTTAAAATGTTCTTACTTCTTAAGCCAAGAAGCAACCCAAATATCAGACGTATGTGATAACAAAGGCCGTTTTCCTTTAGTGTATATACTTGAGCAATGCCTTGTACCATAGACTTTGTCTACATGGGGGACAGAAGTAACAGAACTGATCTCATGTACGTCCTTTTACCACAGATGGAAGTGTCAGAGAGAATCTGATGATATTCCACAATATGAATAGCTTATATATTTTTTTTGAATATTATCTCCGAATGGGGATAATTGGGAATGGTCTGCAAGTGCCATAAATCGGAGAGGAAGGAAACTCCTCACTATTCCTTCTAGTCTGTCTGGGGGCATCTTCAGAACAAAGTTTTGAGTGGTGGCTGAGACAGCACTGATCACATCGGAATCTAGGCAGGACTAGACGGGACAGCTCTTGATTTTTCAATGCATACAAACAACCCATACTTCCAAATGATGGTTCTTCCTCAGGGCAGTTAGCGTGTGAGTTTTTGTAGCTAGTCCAGTTCTAAAGCTCAGATATATTTTTGGGAACCATGCAGTATGCTCACCAGTAATCTCCATGTTAGGTTAGCTTCATCTTCACAAGTAAGAGCTTGCTTTTTGGAACTAGTGAAAAGGCCACTCAGAAGCGAGCTGTGTGAGGGAAGTGCGTATTTAACAGGGTAATTCCTTAATATAAAACAACTGTACTGAAGTCAGGGCATAAGTTACTTGAGTGACTATTAAGTGAATCTGAAAGTCTTCTCCAAAGAGGGATTCCAAACAAATTGGCACACCTTCCAGGTAGCTCTGCACATCTTCCAAAGTCTGTTGTTTACAAGGATCATAATTAAGTTGGACGGATGGGTTGAGATGTTTCCTTTGAAAGTAACACGAAATAAGTTTCTTTTCTTTTTTTTTAAATTTTTAAAAATTTATTTATTTTTGAGAGAGAGAGAGAGAGCACAAGTGGGGGAGGGGCAGAGAGAGAGGGAGACACAGAATCTGAAGCAGGCTCCAGGCTCTGAGGTGACAGCATAGATCTCAGTGCGCGGCTCGAACTCACGAACTGCAAGATCATGACCTGAGCCGGAGTCGGATGCTTTAACCAACTCAGCCACCCAGGCATCGCATCATGGAATTAGTTTCATTGCTTTGCGTTAATGTATCTGAGGGATAGTGAGTGCAGAGGGTGTGATTCATTCCTCGAGGGTGGAAATGCTCACCATCTCACAGCTTACACCAGGTCCTATACTGGAGCAGGAGCCTGGAATGATGGTAGAATCTTTACTCCTGTGATATTATCTAGACTTTGAACTACCAGAACTCAGTGCTCATTACTTCTGAGATGGAAATTATTATTACTTTGTAAATATTTATTTTTGAGAGAGAGAGAGAGGGACAGAGGATTCTGGGCTGATAACTGACTCACCAACTGTGAGATTATGACCTGAACCAAAGGTGGACGCTTAACCGACTAAGCCACCCAGGCACCCCTAGAAATTACTACTTAAAAAAAGAAATACAACATATGTGTCTCTAAATTATTCCCTTACTGGGTAATCCAGAAGTCAGTGTATTTTTTCTTTTTGGGGTCAACTGTTTTCCACTGAGGACTGCCCTATGAAGCCACAAAATGAAGTACATTTGACGAATGAACTTTTGAACCAGACAGGGAAAGGCAGGTTTGGAGATTTTCTGAGCAATTCCGACTTAGTGAATTTGTGCTGCTTCCTTTTTTTCACTGGAGGCTCTGCCGTTTACTAGTTGTGTAACGTTGGCCAGGCTAACTCGATCTCTTCATGCCACTTCATAACTGAAGTGAGTTATGTTGTGACTGATAGGAGTGCCCGGCACATGGTATAGAAAGCTCGTTACAGACAAGCGGACCTCTGCTTCCAGTTCATTAATTCTTGTTTACCCAAGCTCTACTTCTGGTCCATAGCTAGATTTATATGTTTCCTGTTTTTAATACAGCCCTGTGCAGGTCATTTTTAGGACCTGATCACCGTTAGCTGGAGACACTGATAAAGCAGGAAGTTGTTGTATTTGGATTTTGCCTCCAACTAAAATAGCAGAGTTGATTGGCCTGCACAGTCTGATTGCAGAGTAAGGCAGTGAACCCATAGAGAGAATCCCAAGTAGGCTCCACCCTGACAGCGTGGGGCTTGAACTCACGAACCTCGAGATGATGACTTGAGCCAATATCAAGAGTTGGACGCTTCGACAGAGACACCCAGGCACCCTCAGGAGAGACATTTTTGTTCTTTGTTTTGTTTTCTCAGGCCAACACCTGCAGTCACTTCCTGTGAATTAGTCTTGTGTCCTTAATCAGGAGTTTAAATCAAACATTTCACCTCTTTGAACCTGAGTCTGGGGGGTCCAGGGATGCGGGGAGGTGTCTGGAATGCACGTGTGCTGGGTGATGAGTCACAGGCTGCAGACAGGTCAATGAAAAACAAACCAGGCAACGTACATTTGCTCACAAGATTTTCTTACCAGATCCTTGTGGATACGATTGTCCCTTTGTTCTCTGAGATCCGCAGGTCAGTGGGTTTGCCTCTTACGTGTCTGCTTCTTACGTGCATCTTTTTCCAGACTTGTGCTTTGACTCTCTGGTGCTGGCATTTTAAAATTCATTCTTGACTTGTTGATTTCTTCCTTTTGGTAAAGACCTCAAAGTTTGGCGCACAGACCCTGGCTCCATCTTCGACATTGATCCCCTGGAAGACAATATTCAGTCTAGAAGTCTCCATATGCTCTCTGGTACTGCTTTACATTTTGAGTTCCTCCTTATTTACGTGGTTTTGTCCTCAAAGTGCAGCTAATCTGAGCGTTAGAGGCACACGGTGCTAACTGTATAATGTGAATTTTAAAGCTGAGGATTTGAAAACCAAAAAAAAAAAAAAAAAAAAAAATGCTACTCTGCTTTAAAACACCATTAAGCATTTATCAAAACAAACCTCACAAAAGGACTTTTTGATATATCCTACTTAGATTAGTTTCTTCTAGATTCACTTGGAAAGGTGTCCAGAGCATTCCTATATCTGCTTTTCATTACTGAATGTGATTTTATAAGTTTTCTTATAAACCGGGCTTTTCAAATGCAGCTATTTGGATTGCGCTAAACTGCTAAGATATAAAGGAGATTCATTTCATGGAAAACATTGTTACAATATTTGAAAGGTAGATGTTAAGAATTATATATAAAATGGCAGGGAGGTGTTCTATATAGCATCATGAATGTGTTCAAATAAAATAGACTTTTCAGTACCCTTAAAATTTATCTCTGAGTTTTTGTACATTGCAAAATTTATAGTGTACGTAGCAAGTTCATTTGACTTTTAATTTAGACCGCATGTTTCTAATTAAAAGCCAACACCGAATGGTTTGGATATTTGGATCCAAGGATGGCATGGTCTGACAGTTCAGACTTTCTGACAGTGTTTAACACACAGAAGCTTTGACAGTTACGCAGTTATTTTAAACAATATAAATAGATGTATTCTCTCCTTTGGGTCTGTCTCTACCCCCGATTTATACTCTACATTAATTACTGACATTAATAAAATGGAAAGCCCAAGGCAAAGTAGGCACTCTGATTCATTTGTCATCAGTTTGATGCACACAATCAGCCAAGCTCTCATTAAATTTTCTGAAGATAAAGAAAAGGGAACAGATACTGTATGCTCGGGGATTCTTAAAGACAGTTATGTATAACCAGATGCTATGTTTGATAGAAACATTTTGGTTTGTGAGTGTGTTTTCTTAGTTCTTGTCAATTCCTCCCCCCCCATTTAAAATCTACACTTTAGATAAAATCTCCTTTAAAATCTACACTTAAAATGAGCATAAGCGATCATTTGACATTGATACTATTGGCAGAGCATTGAAGTTTGGTAATAGGTGGCTAGAACTTATAATAGCTGAGCTTTGGGATTTTTATTTATAAGAGACCCGCTTTGCTTCCTTGTTACACTTTTAAGTACTTTTTTTGTTGTTGTTCTTCAAGTCACTTAATCACAAATATGAATATTTTCCCTCAACTGTAGAAAAGGCGAGTCACTATAGGAGACACCGTTCTCGATCTCATTCGAGCAGTACTTTTGGGACAGGTCTGGGAGATGACAAGTCAGAAATATCCGAGATTTACCCCAGCTTTTCATGCTGCAGTGAGGTAACCAGGCCATCGGATGACGGAGGTAGCAAGCTTTAATCAGTCTCCGAGAACAATAATTCCGTTTTGTAAGCGTGTCGTAAGTTGTGTCTAACATTCTTCACCTTTGCACAAACATGTAGCCTGGGAGTATTTGAAAATTTTAAATTCTGTTCAGGAAGTTGAGTCCTTTTCTTTTATACTACTAATTGGCATTCCTGCATGTTTGTTTTTCCTGTCTTGCTTCACTATTTTCACTGCCAATGGATTTTTAATGACAGAAGGGTTTTGGGCCCTGGGGTGTGAGTTTGTTGCATGGTTGTGTGATGGACGTACACAGGTGCACAGCCAGAGTGGACACTTGAGTTCTGTGTCCGATTTCCATTAAGGGAAATCAATCTTACAGTTGCTATGAATTTGTGTGTATTTATTATTATTTCATTATTACTATTGTTTTTAAGTTTATTTATTTTGAGACAGAGAGTGAGCGTGTGTAAGTGGGGGAGGGGCAGAGAGAGAGGAGCTGAAAGCATGGAGCCCAATGTGGGGCTCAAACTCATGAACCATGACATTTGAGTCAAAATCGGACACTTAACGGACTGAGCCACTCAGGCGCCCCTTGTGAGCATTTTAACATTGATATACATTTGCTGACAGAGTTAGATCTTGCCTAAAAGAAATTGGCTTTGATACTTGAGATATGAGATTTAAAAAAAATGGAAAATACTGTTCATTGTGAATAATCTTCCCCATATTTTCTGTAGCCATCCTTTCTCCTGTTTTCTACATCCAAGCTGGTGGGTTAAGTCTAGACCTTTTAGTTGAATTTCTTTTGGCCGTTCAACTAATCCTGCTGATAAAGGTCTTATTAAAGGTTAAGACCACAGTGCAGCTCTATCTTAGTGCCTTGGGGAAGGAGGGGAGGGGCCGGAAGCACTTAAGAACAAAAAGAATCCTGAATTTCCTCTTCAACCACAAAGGTCCTATTGCAACTTAACATGGGTGGGGGGTGGTTGGGGAGAAAGTAAAATGACCAAAGACCTGGGATAAAACCATGAAAGCCTGTGCGATGATATGATTGGGCTTTTTTCCATCCATTCAAATAAAGCACTTACGAAGTTAGAGTCAATTCCATTCTATACATCTTAAATTGCATATTTAGACTGGCCTTGGGCTAGATAGAGAGTTTTGGGCTGGATAGAGAGTTTTGTTTGCTTTCATGTTTCAGTTTTACTGAGGTGCAATTGACATGTGTGAAATTGTAAGGTGTCAGAAGTGTCCATTGCGATGATCTGATATGTGAGTACCTTTGTGAAATGGACTTCCCTGCCCCCAGATAATTAATTAATCACGTCACATCATTATCTTTTACTTGTGTGTGTGAGAACATGAAAGTTTTACTTTTCTAGCAAATTTCAATGATACAATACAGCGTTGTCAACTGTCGTCACCATTTTATACGTTAGATCCTCAGAGCTTATTCATATTATAGCTCAAAGTTTGTACCCCCTTTCCAACCTTTCCCTATTTTCCCCACACTCCAGCCCTTGGCAACCACTTTTGTGCTGTTTCTATGAGTTTACCTGTTTTGTTTATTTGTTTTATTTTGAGTTTTAAGATCCTACCTTACTAGGACATTTTTAAAAATCTCCTTTCTCTATGATTCTAATGAAATGTTTGTCAGGTACTTTTGCTGTCGTGTAGACATGACAGCCATGGGAGAGCTCCCTTTTCTGTGGCTGGTTCTCTGACAAAGGGTCCAGTAACTTCTTGAGTTTTTTGATTTTGGACTTGGGGTTATTGATTTCTCCCTTCAGTGTCCTCTGTGGTTCTGGAGGTACAGAATAGTGTTGATGTTTGATGAGATGAACAAAACGCAAAGCAAATACAAGAATAAATTTGGGCCCATCGTAGTCAGCTTTCCTCAGTCCAGTGTTTTAGAGTTGATGCAATGTACCTCAGAGTACATTTGCTTCAGCAGTGACCCTTCGACTTCGTGCCTGTGTAACCAATACAGCATTCATTCATGTATTCACCAAATGTTTACTGAGTGCCCTTTGTACACCAGCCAATAGCTCAGATCTGGTGATGCATCTGGTGATGCATATTCCAGTGAGCAAAAGAGATGTGCATCTGCCCTAAGGGACTCAGAGTCTGGTGGGGGACTCTGACATGAAACAGACACTGACTCAAGTAATATGTAATTAAGAACAGAGTAAAAGGCTTTGAGAGGGTAAGCATGGGGACCACAAGATGTACAATTGGGGAATTCCATCTGGCCTTGGTGTCGGGGAAACCTTCGAGGGAAGGAGGATTTGAGCAGAAACTCAAATGCTAAATGACATTAACTGGGCCAAGGAGGCTTTGGGAGAAAAATGTCTTTGCGAGAGAGAACGGAGCACTGAGATGGTGTGTCGGTGAGATGTCCAGTGGAGGTGTCAAGGCAATCAGAGTTCAGAAGGAAGGCTACACTGGAGGGAGATGTGGAAGGTGTGGATGATGAAGACTGTAGAGAAGAATTCAGACCCCCCCCTCCCAATGTCTCCAGTCCCTCCTCACCTGCTAGCTCTCTCCATTCTCTGTCCCCAGGGCTGCACTATGAAAACCCACTGCTGTTGGATTCTCTCTTCTTTCTCTTCCCAAGCCATACCTTCTTTTTTCTAATTTCTTCTAGCAAAAGGACCCTATTCTATGTCAAATTGAATGAGAAAATGTCTCCATAGAAAGACAATATACAGGGACACCTGGGTGGCTCAGTCGGTTGAGCCTCCGACTTAGGCTCAGGTCATGATCTCACAGTTTGTGGGTTTGAGCCCCGTGTCAGCCTCTGTGCTGACAGCTGTCTCAGAGCCTGGAGCTTGTCTTCGGGTTCTGTATCTCCCTCTATCTCTGACCCTCCTTTGCTTGTGCTGTCTCTCTCTGACTCAAAAAAAAAAAAATTAAAAAAAAAAGAAAGATAGTATACATACATATTCTTACATTTATGCCAGAATGTAAGAGTAACACATGGTTAAGAGAGAATAGTTACATTTTTTAAAACGGAGGAATTTCAGATGCCAAGGTAGGTGGCAGTGGGGGCTAAGGGGAGGGGGGATTTCTGACAGGAAAGGGTATCTCAGTAGCTTAAATAATGTCTGGTAAAATGCCTTTGAAAATACCTTGTCATTCTCAGCCCCCTGTTATGGGATCAAGATGCTCTTTTTGGAAAATGGATACTGAGGTAGGAAGCAAAAGTAACGATGTGCCAATAAGTGTTATAACGTACATACAAGTATATATAACACCAGGCGTCTGTGTTTATTCGAAAAGATTTTAGAATACATGGGAATATGCACCTCACTCCATTTATTTTAGGGGAAGCAAGCGCCTTCTGGCGGCTGGTACCTTGTATCTGTGTTCAGATGATTAGTGACATAACCAAACCCCATATGTTCAAAACAATATCCCACTCCCCACCTCCCCCCCCCCCCCCCCCCCCCCCCCCCCCCCCCCCCCCCCCCCCCCCCCCCCCCCCCCCCCCCCCCCCCCCCCCCCCCCCCCCCCCCCCCCNCCCCACGGTCTGCTCTTTCTCAGGCTTTCAGTTTGCTAAGCAGCACCTGCAGCTGTGCAGGTACTGAGGTCAAAGCCTTTGGAGTCACCCTTGACTTTTGTTCTTTACTCACCCCTTACCTCCAACCCATTAGCAACTCTTCTCAGCTCCACTGGGAAACCATATGTAGAATCGGTTTGAGCCCCCTCTGCCCTAACTCTGTGGGTTTCAGGTGGGTCCCCTCCCCCCGCCCTCGCTCTGCGTTTCAGCTGCACCCCCCCCCCCCCCCCCGCCCCCGCCCCTCGGATCATCACAGTAGCCTCCTACTGCTCTCATCGCTCGATGCTGCAGGCCCTCTGTCTTGCTCCTTCCTCCACCCGGCAGCCAGGAGGGATCTTTCCAAAAGTCCAATCGTGTCATTCTTCTGCTACCATTTCATTCTGGATACAACCTAAACCCTCACCGTTGCCCCCTCTGGGCCCTGGCTGCTTCCCTAAGCCTGTTAATTCCATTCTCAGAACATTTTCCTCAAACTGTCCAACCAAGCCCTCACCCTGTATGCCCACTGTGTACTTCACTGCTTCCCTGCCTGGAACATTCCCTCTCATCCCCATATTTGCTTTTGCTGAGTCCCATTTTTCTCCATAATTCTGCTCAGAAGTCACTATATCAGAGAAACCCTTTCTGACTCTCAAAGATAAAATAGCACCCTTTCCTGTCTGTCCCTTTTTCCCCCTCACTAGCACTTGATATCACCTGAGATATTATATCTATGTATCTGCTTGTCTGTCTCTGCCTAGCTAGGATTGAAGCCCTGCAAGAGAGATATTGGCTCTTTTGTCGCTACTCTATTGCCAGCCCTTAGAATAAACACTCAGCAAATATTGGGTGAATGAATGAAATGGCCAAATTAATACTTTTTTTCTGTTCGTTATTTTTTTTTAGCTGACATATGATTGACATATAATGTGGTAGTAGTTTTGGGTATATAAGAAACTAGAATCTTAAAAACTAGAATTATAATAAACAGTATAATTGTTTTTTTTAAATTTTTTTAAATAAAAGCCGCTTGTGGGAGGCTTTCAAGGACCTTCTTCCATTTTTGTTTTGATGATGTTTTGATATGTTTCAAGGACATTAAAGTATAGTTGAAAAATAACCTAAAATAGAAACATTCCAGTGTGGTTTTTTTTTTTTCCCCTGGTGGGGAAGGGAAGAAGCAGTACCCATGACTTCTCAGCGGGTTTCTTTGAAATTTAGGGTCCCCTTTGAAATGCGTACTATGCTGGGCCCTGGGAAGGAGGTGCTGACTGACTCTGTAGAAGGAAGAAACTTTTATGGTCTTGACGGTTATTTGATGAAAACTTCCAGTGTCTTTAGTTAATCATATGTATTGGTTTAAGTACCGTTCTAGAACTGGAAAAGAAGTGTAAAACCATACTTGTTAGTGGTAAAATGAAGAAAAAAAAGACAATGTAAGTATTTTGAAATGCCAGCTTTCCCCCCATATTTTGTTG